TTTATGGACTTATTAAAACGTAGAGTGCAACCAGGTAATTGTGAATTGAAAGAGTTTTGTCACTTAATGCAAAGTCCACTTAGGTTCATGTTTAAAATGAACTAATCGTTGATGACGTAAAAAATTTTTTCTTTTTTTTTTTCAAAATTATTCCTCAAGTATTAAGGAAATCGTTAAATTTTTCAAAGAAAGTGTTTTACGTAGAAGATTTATAAATTTACCTCTGTTGTGCGAAATGTAATGGTCAACAATATAAAAAGCTATTCCAATTTGTGTTCTAAGTTAAGAGTTTTACTACGAATCTACAATCACAATCAAACTTCATTATTGCCATGGTCGTATAATAGCAAAGTAGTGCAAAACTAAGTTCCTTTAAGGTATTAGCATAAATTTTCTTGACATAAGAACATAGAAACCATTAAAGCAGGTCTTAAAAATCACAGAAAATAATACGAGTCAATGAAATAGCTAAGTTAGCTTGTTTTGGGGTTGGGTTGGATTAATTTGTGTTTGAATTCGTTTGAGGTTGAAATGCTTTCAGGTTTAACTGGTTTAGTTAGGATCTAGATTACTTCGTGGGTCAGTTCCTTTGGGGTTGGCTTGCTTGAAGACTGATTACTGAGTTGCCTTGAGATGTGCTGACTTTGAATTTGGGTTATTTTGTGCTTGAGTTGATTAGGAATTGGATTGACTTGATTTAGAGACATGATACTTTGTAGTTGTGTTGTTTTGAAGCTGGGGTTGGGTTGCTTCGAAGTTAGGTTGGGTTACTTCGTAGTTGTACTGGAGTCAGATAGGAATTGGATTCACTTGATTACTCCTCACTTTGATTGAGTACAATCAGCATCTCTATAACCTTTCAAGTTATTATTATATGATTGGGAATTGTAATAGTTATTGTAGTGCTAATTATGCTCTTTTCCGCTTTACATGCTTCACTTGGCAATCGCAATGGTTCCATTTATTTTGTTTTATTTATTAAGGCGGTTGATATTTTTGCAGTTTTTTGTATAATTGATATGGACGAATTTCAGCTGGTTTAATTTTATCTTCCATATTTTGGTCAAATTGGGTATTGTTTTGCTGCCTGTTTACAAGTTTTTACTTCATACATAGCCATGGTCCTCTGAAACTCTGGTATCTCATTAGTCTTGACATAAAAACATAGAAACCATTAAAATTGCAGAAACTAACACGAATTAATGAAATAAGGGTAATAATTGAAATGCCACACATTGTTTAACTACAAAAATATCGTTCAAACCTAAATACAGATTACCAAATCTTCGGAGGAATACTTTCCCAAGGTTCTCGACAAACCAAAAACAAATATTTAGATTCCATACTCTGATTTCGTTCAATAAAAAAGTTTTATGAAGAAGCTGACACATGGTTACTAAATTGGCAAGGAAGCAAATTGCAACAGATTTTACACTTCATGACTTTTTCTATTAGTAGCTAAGACAATTATTACTTTTATGGCTTTTCTTCCAACGACTCCTTCAATTGATACATTAAGAAATGAAGACGTGACTTAGGTTTACAATGAGTACTAAGTGGACAATGCAAAACAAGTGTCTATCGAGAGAAGATCAATTTCACAAAGATTTCTTTACTTCAGGAATTTTAGTCTGATTTTTCTGACAAGTAAAATTAAAAAAACGTCACACAGTTTTTTCTTCCTATTTCAACTTACTCTATTATATATCGATAATTACAATATTCTATATTTAAATGTTTTGACGGTGAAATAATGTAATGATAAAATCGTTAATTTCAGGGTATTTCAATTAGCTTTGGACGTATCTGTTATACGAGGTCGTAAATTTTTGATTTCACTTACCTGTTGTCTAGACTGTTAATTACTTGTTACCATTAAAGGCAGACTAACTAACCTTTGCACCGCGAATAATAAAACTTATTATATCCATACAAATAACCGTATTAGATTTCACCGTGCAATTCAAGAATTTTAATAAAAGCTAAGTCTTATCCAGTGAAAACCATCTCTAATGAAAATAAATTGCGACCCAAATAACCAGTATTCAACAAAATGTTGGCTTATATGTATATCTATAGTACAGAAATAGTAAGATAGCTTTGTGGAGAATTTTCCATAAATGGACATTACATTTCTTTTCTTTATAAAAGATACATGAAATTATTTATGTTATCAGCGTATATAGGTTTCACAGTTGCAATTAACTTTTTTTTTTTTTGATAATTGGATTAGCTATCATATGTCAAAGTTTGATGGTGAGCTAATAAATCAGGCTGTATAATGTTGAAAAATTGTGATACCCCATGTTGCTCTGCAAGTATCCTAGTACTTAGTCCAGGCTGCTCTACGACGACATTCAATATCTCCTCCTCGATAAAGAAAGTGTTTTACGTAGAAGATTTATAAATTTACCTCTGTTGTGCGAAAAGTAATGGTCAACAATATAAAAAGCTATTCCAATTTGTGTTCTAAGTTAAGAATTTTACTACGAATCTACACTCACAATCAAACTTCATTATTGCCATGGTCATAATAACAAAGTAGTGCAAAACTAAGTCTCTTTAAGGTATTAGCATTAATTTTCTTGACATAAGAACATAGGAACCATTAAAGCAGGTCTTAAAAATCACAGAAAATAATACGAGTCAATGAAATAGGGGTAAGTTAGCTTGTTTTGGGGTTGGGTTGGATTAATTTGTGTTTGAATTGCTTTGAGGTTTAACTAGTTTAGTTAGGATCTAGATTACTTCGTGGGTCAGTTCCTTTGGGGTTGGCTTGGGGTTACTGATTATTGAGTTGCCTTCAGATGGGCTGACTTTGAATTTGGGTTATTTTGTGCTTGAGTTGATTAGGAATTGGATTGACTTGATTTGGAGACATGCTACTATGTAGTTGTGTTGTTTTGAAGCTGGGGTTGGGTTGCTTCGAGCTTCGAGAAGTTTGATGGTGAGCTAATAAATCAGCCTGTATAATGTTGAAAAATTGTGATACCCCATGTTGCTCTGCAAGTATCCTAGTACTTAGTCCAGGCTGCTCTTCGACGACATTCAATATCTCCTCCTCGACATTAACAATATGTAAAGGTCTAACTGCTTCTCCATTTTGCCCATGCCTCGGTCGAATATTGCCATATTCCCTACCACGTTGCACCACACGTAAAAGGGATTCACGTGTTGGATGATATCTCTCTGGAAACCTTTCTGCATACAACGAGCTGCAAGCACAGAATTTTGCCATGATTTCCCATATGTCAGTACCATGTCCATAAGTTCTTCGTTAGAGAAATTGTGCGCAATTAACTTTTTTTTTTGATGATTGGATTAGCTACGTTATGTCAAAGTTTGATGGTGAGCTAATAAATCAGCCTGTATAATGTTGAAAAATTGTGATACCCCACGTTGCTCTGCAAGTATCCTAGTACTTAGTCCAGGCTGCTCTTCAACGACATTCAATATCTCCTCCTCGACATTAACAATATGTAAAGGTCTAACTGCTTCTCCATTTTGCCCATGCCTCGGTCGAATATTGCCATATTTCCTACCACGTTGTACCACACGTAAAAGGGATTCACGTGTCGGATGATATCTCTCTGGAAACCTTTCTACATACAACGAGCTGCAAGCACAGAATTTTGCCGTGATTCCCCATATGTCAGTACCATGTCTATAAGTTCTTCGTTAAAGAAATTGTGCGCCATAATTTTTATAACCTTTAAATATTATTATTACATAATTGAAATGTCACAATGACACAAGTGTACTTAAACAACAGTTGTTAAAATTGCAATTGTTTATCACCATCGTAGTTTCAAGTAATTTCTATGTATTCTTAATTCGAAAGTTAATTTCAAGGATATCTAGGAAACTATAAAAATTTTACTGCAATTTGTATTACCAATTAGTCATTATCTGTCATCAGGAATAAATCCCAAAGTTTATGCGTGTAGGTTGAGAATCACCCTGTATATACCCTTACACAATATCTCATATGACTCTATTTTTGCTAGTGCAGCTTTCATCATGGTGGGTTTCATCTCATTAAACACAAAAACTAAAATAGGTTACTTTAGTAGTAATAAATTACAACAGATAGTAGATGAAGAGAGTAGGCATAACAATTAATTTGCGAGATTTGAATAATCAGAGGTAATTTTATACCGATAAATTAGCTTATAGACGCTCGATACTTAATTGCGAGTTTTAATCATCAATTTCTGTTCAAACACATTTACTACTTTCACTTTCTAGTTTATGTTCTGTTTCGTTTGATATCGCTTGCGATGTGATCTTATACAAGAAATTAAGTTTAAATTTGTATGAAAAATCACCAAACTCATTATTAAATATTTTAGTTAATTAACAAACATGAAATAGAGTTTTCGCATTGAGATAGTATTAGGAAAAGGCCGCGTTCGCAAATTTTACTGACAATTATAGATAATTAATAATGGGCTTAATTGTAATATAATTTATAATATTTCAGCACCATTGGTAAACCCGTTATCCCAGCGCCACATTGTTTATTCATTAATTAAAAATACACGAATTTAAAATTTAATAATCAAGCGTAATTAATTTCCAATATTTTAGAACAGTATTTAGTTGATCGTGTAATGATAAAATACAATTATTAATAGAATCGAATAGCAAAGTTCATGTACCACAATTATAAAGTTGCTCGTTATTTTCATACCAGGTTTAAAATGTTATTAAAAATTAAAAAGTATTTTATGCAAAATGTTCTTTTAGGTGTTACATTTGCAATGATATAAGTCGTTTGAACGTATCGTTTAAAGAGAGAATCTTCTAAATAACCACCTAAGAACCTATAAAATTTAAAGCGATTAAAATTCCAAGGTGGTTATATTGTTATTTATGTTACGTTTTATGACTCAACTAATAGACTATTTCACATTAAAATATGTAAATTGCTTTAAACACCTTCCTTCCACTTATGTTACGAAAAAATAACAAAGTGATCAATTTTTTTTTCTTTTCAGGATTATTACCCAGATTTAATAGTAAACGATTCAATAGCTTTTTTGCGACAATCGAAAAAAACCAACGCAAACAAACCGGTAATGTTAACGATGTCTTTTCCGGCACCTCACGGTCCAGAAGATTCAGCACCACAATATTCACATTTATTCTTCAACGTGACCACTCACCAGTAAGTATAAATCATTTATAGTCCGTTTAACTCAAAATTCATAGTCCATAACTTTGAAAATCTTTAAATCGAGTGATGATTTTATTTCCGTTTTGAGGAATAAAATAAATGTTTGGCGCCATAAAAAAAGAATAAAACGGTTCTCAGTGCTTTGCTCTATTTGACTTTGTAATGAAGACGAATGTTAGTCAAGTGGCGCTGTCCCATTACGTATCCGTAAACACAACGACTACAAATAGACGTGCGATGATTCCAAGCGTGTTTTCGCTATTTCAAGTTCCCTTTTTAACATTTGTCGGAGTCTTTAATTGTGCTTTTTGTATGCAAGGTTAACGCGTATTCTCCATTTCGTTCGTTGTATTTCCAGTACATTACTGGAGATATTATTCTTACCTCTTCATATACATTCCGTTGGATCTAATTTTATCCTAGTGTCTTCTTCGGGTTTATTAAAAATTCCTTTGCTCTGTATCCTTAGGAATGGGGAACTTCTCAGTTTAATATATTACCAACGAGGTAAGTTCTCGCGTTACACCTTTACGAGATTTCCAAGACCAGGTGCATAATTAATGACGTATTTCTAAACTTTCTACAAAATTAATGTATAATAAAAAAACTTTTCTGAGTTTTCTCATTTTATTTAATCTACCATTTAGATACTCTCTTACAATTAATTAAAAACCAGAAAAGATCGGGGTACTTCAACGTTCCGGAGAAAGGAAAAGAAAAGGAAAAACCGATTTCCAATAATCCTCGAACGAAAGAACCTTTCCAATCAATGTTGGTATAACGGCAAGACGAAAGGAACTTTTTTTTCCATGAACTGTAAAAGATCAGATGGGTGCTCTAGCTGGTCATTTGTTAGGCACTTTGATATTCGCAAACGCTTTGAATGGAAGCCCCCACAAAGAGGACAACTTTTGAAAGAATTATGAGTCCTTTGGGGTGGGTTCATTTCGAGGGGCTGGGAGGAAACGACGAATATTGAGTGCTTTCCGTGGTTCGTTCTCACACCCACGTGTAATATTTATTTAACTTACACGTAATATCCTTTGCGAACACGTTTGAATCTCTTGTACCTTCATATAATTACAACTCGCAGTACACGAGAAGTAAAAGCCTGTCGTTAAAACATTATTTATGTTCGTAGAGCTAAAGTATAAGTTAAAAAAAAATAAGAACTTCCGCCGTGTGTTTTCGCTGAAGAAGCAAGAGTATAGTTAAACTCCCTTTTTGTGAACCGAAAAAAGTCATTTGCGTGACCCAAATAGCTCCGGGTTTAACGTAAAAAGTGTAGTAGCTCAAGAAAGGAATATGACACCAACGTCCTCTTTCTCTCTGTTTGTCGTCTCTTTGTGCATACCGCATCACCTTAGAGAACGCAAAGTCCGAAAAACCCTTTCGAATTTTAACTAGTTCATTTATATTCATGGTCGACACCTAGGAAACTCGACACTCAACATCACTTTTTTAAACGAAAAAAAGTTTTTTTAACCTTTTAATTATCAATTCAATTTAAAAGTACAGTGATTAAACGAAAAGCTCTTCAGGCATTAAAGATTTATCTTATATACAAAAATCATGGTATCAAAAAATTTAACATACAATAATAATATTGCGAGCTTCAAAAATATTTTATATGAAATCATATAAACAAACTTCGATTTAGTTATAACATATTTAACACAAAATGAGTGTAAATTTAATAGCAGAGTTTTGGTTGAAGGATTTCTTCAGTACTTAGAGATCTTCATTTTTACTTAATGTGTAGTTGTGAGTTAATATTTAAGTTAGTCGAAGGTCTTTATCAGCATCTGCCAAGTTAAAGTTATCATCAAAAATTGTCTTTTCCAACACGCTTCCATAACAACCAAGTAATGGCCACATATAGATCCATAAAATGAAAGATGGGTCGATAATACCATTCTTTGAATCTTATTTTTTCTTGAAACGTCAAAATGATAACTCCTATCGATCTTAAGATAGATCGGTTAAGATAATTTGGACTTGAAAGGTGTTCTTCTGAATGTTTTATCACCGTCTTGGTAGAGATCAACCTCCAGCTACCTTCACTTATCCACGGAGGCAGGACGCTTGACCCGATCTTCAGCTACATTGCTACAGCATTATTAAAGCTTCTCTCTTGTCGATACAAAATTAATCCAACGCAACATAATCTATGACTTCACTACTCTGTAAAAAAAAAGCAGTTTTGCAATCGCAGCTGTACATCATTAATAATTCAGTTTTGTACTGCATGAGTGTTGGAATTTAGGGATCTGAAATTCAAAAAGCTCCTTTGTTAGATATCGAATTATATTAATTTTCTTACTTTGTGTCAATGACAGCGATTACTTCTTTATGAAGCATACTATTTAGCTGTAGTATGGAGAGGTTATGAACTATCCTCATCTTAACAGGACTAGCAAACTTAGTATCAAATAATGCAAAATTCATACTATATATAGCACTCGGAAGAGCTTTTATAAATTTAAACAATCGAAAAAATGATTAGCGGTGGATTACATCTGAAGTACAGGAGTTGGCACAAGATAAAAGCACCTCTATAATATAAATCAACCAAGACACTTCGAGACTATATAAAGTATGTCGAAACCAGGAACAAAGTGACCAATAGAATAAGACAAATAAAGAGGGTACATTGAAAGAAATTTACTAAATAGATGGAGATTAACATGTACGAATCAAAAAAGGGAATATGGAAGATGTTGAGAGCATCAAAAAGAGAAGTTAAAGAAACCGTAAAATCAGATAGAATTCCGTTAAAAAGTGGAGTAAATACTTCAGAGTATTACATTTAAGTGGAAACGTACTCAAAGATAAAGCAAAAAATTGGAAAATCTCCAGACCCGGATAATATAACTAACGTGCTATGAAAGCATGGAAATTTGGCAGGACAACTAATTGAACTGCACAAAAAGGGACGCGCAACCAATATAAGAGAATTATCACGGAATTACTTTTCTAAGTAGCTTGCTGAAGTCCTCCACCAGACTCTTGAGACAACACATCACTGATAAAATTCAAATAAGTGATACACAAACATAAGAGCAAGTGGGTGTGCAAACAAGCATTCGACAATGTGGCAACCTCAGCCCTTTGTTGTGATTGAACTATGGTTACACTATGATTGGAAAGAAAAACAAGATTATGTGCTATGCCGTCCTATTGGCTGCTACTGATGATGGTTTGCAGTGATAAACGCAAGCATTGCAACATTGCAACTGAAAATTGAAGGAGCTAGAAGCAAAAGAGTAAAATTGTATGAAAGGAAAAATGGAGATAATCAGGCTTAAAATTTTTTTCTTTATAGTAAAATCCATATGACTTGTAATTTTGACTTTATCATCAATTTACATAGCTACAGGATTTTTCAGATTTTTAATACATTTAAATTGACTCATAAATTACCCAAATCTGTACAAAATTCGTTTTGAGACAAAAACATGCAAATCTCGATAAGCAAGACCAACACCATAATGTGAGCGAGAGAACCCCATAGATGCAAAATAGCAATTAACAAGATCATTAAGGAAATATCGGAATTTGATTACCTAAGATATATTATTTCGGCCTATGAGAATCAATAACCAATATTGTAAAGCAACAAGGCAACCAGAATTGCTGGTACGCTATGGCACACAATCTGGAGAAATAACTGTATGTCGACTGATCAAAATCTAGAATATATATGGCATTCGCAAGGCCTGTGATGACATATGCGGAGGAAACCTATTTCGGATGGGTAACATCAAGATGAGTGTGACACCATAAAAATAGTGCGATGAGTGCAGGCAAGATAGAACGGTTGGAACAAGCATATATCCCGGATGGATAACAACAGATGATTAAGATCGCTAGGAATGTAATGCCACTGTTAATGTGACCACCAAGACGTTCCATTATTGGTGGAAGAAAAAAAAAGAGTATCCTCATTTCGATGATGACCACTGGAATATCGGTTATTGGAGATAAACCAACGATTAAATGGGGAACGTTTTTGCAGAATTCAACAAATTTAATTTCAAATTCATTTTTATTTCTTTCAGTTTTGAAATATGTTGCAAATTCGAAATTTGTCGATTTCAATTTTCCTCCATAACTCTTAAACTCGACCACTTTTAAATCTTTACAATGTTGAGGCACTTTTTTAAGACAAGCTTTTGGAACCAGCTTTTTCCATTAATTTAATTCTGTTCGACACATTTTTGGCATCTTGTTCTAACATATTTATAAACTTCACGTAGTATGTTTTTGTTATTAGCACATCAGCATTCATGAGTCTAAAATTTCAGAGATGCAGCAGATGACTCTTGTAAATATAGAGATATTGCTGGGTTTTGCGTTTTAAAGATGTTTACAGGAACCATACTTGGTGTACGTAAAAATCGATATAAACCTGAATTGCCAGGGAAGGTTTCAATATTGTTTGCTTAGTTTCATTTTGGCACACGGTGTTGCGGCGAAATTGATGAATGAAGTTAAATATATAATGTCATGGTAACACAACAAAAATAAACTGTACGAAGAGTAATGATTTGTTAATTCAAACGATGTTTATACATGTATATAGGTCGTAGGTAAATGGTTATTTTAGGATAATTTTCTTACTCAAGTCTGGTCATATGGCAGAACAATTTGTCTTTCATTAAATATTATTCTAAGAATGTTGCGTTGACCCATCATTAGGTAAATGTTGCTAAAAAGTTAAATAATTGTGCTACAACAACGTTTCTGTTTCATTTAATACGGACTGAATTCAAAAATAAGTTCACGGATGCTATTTATTACATGCTGAAGACAACCTCAATTTCCGGAAATCAACAACGTGAGGCATTTAGAAGTGCACGTGTCTGCAACGGTCATGCGTTTAATTTAGAAACGTAATAAATCGAAGTTTGCGGATTTAGATTTTGGCATACATTTCGAAATTTCTCCGTTAAATTACTAAATCTTGTTAAAGAAGAATTATTAAGATTAGTTAATAATTGATCCAACTCTTATATATAAATATATATTATGTTGCTATGTTACTTTTAAAATACCTGTATAAACAGGAGATGTTGTTGGAATACAAATTTTCTAATTTAACCCACCCCAAAAAGCTTCCAGACACATAACTCTTGCGTTCATAAATTTTTAATACCGCAATTTGGGATGTTGCAGTTATTCTCTTGGTCCGTTGGGAATACCCAAACAATAAAAATCTTATTTCTTGTATTACTAAGAGAAAGTCGATATAATAACCAATTTCCCTAACAGAAAAAAGATTAAAAGAAATAATAAAAAAGCAATCGTAAATATTTCCCTAAGGCGATACCGTTCTCTTTAAACCGTAAAAGGAACGCGTCGTTTATTAGGTTAAATAACAGCTTAAAGCGAAAGCGAGAGACAATGAAGTATGGTTACAACAACCCATATGAAGTGGTATATTTATGGAAATTTTCATCTCTGCAAGTTGGTTTTAAAAAGTTTTTAAATAGTCCATCTACTCCTAACGGGTTAATGGTGATTTAATTGACGACTTGCGAACGCGCTTGGTTATAATTCGCTGACTGGCGCTAATTCAGATTAACGAGCGTTCGCGCTTTTCCCTCCACAAAATCTCGGTTAAAGAGCCACTTTGAAGCGATTTTACGACGCGATTATTTCAACTGGAGTTAATTTAGTTAAGCGGGCATTTCGTTTCTTCGAGTAAATTGAAATCGTCCCAGAAATATAATGAATTCGTAAATAATTTTGTTATTAATCTTTTTATAGCACGCCATCTTATGATCACGCACCGAATCCAGACAAACAATGGATTTTACAAATAACGAATCGAATGAAACCTATTCATCGCCAATTTACTGATTTATTAATGACCAAACGATTACAAACTTTGCAATCGGTTGACGCAGCTGTACAAAGAGTGATTGATGAGTTGGAAAATTTGGGCGAATTGGATAATACATATATTGTTTATACTTCAGATCATGGTTATCATTTAGGACAATTCGGGTTAATAAAAGTGATTTAATAAAAACCGTCGCCTCCACCATTTTTATTAAATCTAATTTTTTAGGGTAAAAGTTTTCCTTTTGAATTCGACGTTCGAGTACCATTTTTAGTTCGGGGTCCGGGGGTGGCACCGGGGTCTGTTGTTGATGATATAGTTCTAAACATTGATTTAGCACCAACATTTTTGCACATGGCTGGAGTTGAGGCACCTTCTCACATGGATGGGAAATCAGTACTTCCTTTATTCTTAAACACAAAGAAGCGACATCGATGGCCCGACACTTTCCTCATAGAAAGGTAATTTACAAGTTTTTTTAAACAAAATCATTTTTTATTATAATTTTAGTTCTGGTAGAAGAGACACCCCCGAATCTCGTAAAGCAAATAAATACTCAGCGGCAGCAAACGGAGTCCAAATCCCTGACTTAACAACGCTTTCCCCATTTTCCTCAACCCCCACTCAACCCAACCCATCATCCGAATCATCCAACATTACAAGTAGCCTGAATCAATTTTCCACAATGATTGGAACAATCCCTACTTCATCATCTAAAAGATACTTTGAATCGGAAGAAGTTTCACCATTAGAAGAAGACGAAGATGATGACGATGGTGGGTTAGCCGACGATGAATTTGAGAATGAAGAAGAAACGGACGATGAATTAGAAGTGAATGATGATATACACGAAAGAAATCAAATTAAACCGGCCGATTCCAACTTAGACAATCAATTATCACCTGAACGTCTTCAACCAGTGAATAAATTAGAAAGACTTGCGAAAGAATGCGCTCATTCTGATTTAAAACTACCATGCAAACCGGGTCAAAAATGGTATTGCGAATACCAACACGGAAGATGGAGAAAACATAAATGCAAAACTCAAATTCCATATAATTTCAAACCGAACAAGAAAAATTATAAACAATGTGCTTGCTTCACACAAGAAAAATTGGTTTATAAAAAACTTCCAGTTAATATAACATCAAAAAGAAATTCAAGATTTCGCGTAAAAAGAGACGCCAAACTAGAAGAAATCGTCTTTCATCATCTCCACAACGATAACATACACAAACTATCTTCCAGAGTAAAAAGAGATAGCTTAAGACATGTTGATTCAGTTTTAGCGTCATTAGAAGATGCTTTATCTGGTTTACAAAAAGCAAACGCTTCGTTAAGAGAGGTTCCAATCGGTCTTCCAAAAAGCAACATCGAAACTAACGCAATCGAAGATGTTTCGCATGGATGCATTCGAGTATCAAAAGGAAACGTAAATTGTTCAATGGAAGTCTATAATAATCGAAAAACATGGAAAAAAGAACGGCAACACATCGAAGCTGAAATACAACGATTAAAACAACAATTAGAAAACTTAAAAGAAATTAGGAGACATTTAAAACAAGCCAAACCAAACGGCGAGGATGACACCCAAGATGGTGATGAAGAAAATTCAACCGATATAAACAATAATAATAACAACAACGTAGATAATTCAATACAATTAGGGATTTCAAACCGTCAAGTGATTCAACAAACAACGGAATTTTTCGATATTCTAAACACATCGACACAAAAACCCGGAAATAGAGGATATAATCGAACTGGAAGAAGAAGAATACGACCCCTTTTTAATATTACCGATTTTGATGGGTTAAATTTTGAAAATGATACCTTAGAATTTAACCTTTCTGATACAACAACTCATCGACCAGTTAGACATAATCACACACGAAGGATTCATACCACTCAAAGGCCGCTTGATGAAACAAGTTCTAACATTTACGATATATTTTCTACACAATTGAGGGTGAAATCAACCACGCCACGACCGAATTTCCTCGAAATCAACCGAGAACATTGTTATTGCGCTGTTGATGAAGAAGAAGATATCGATAGAGAACGGAGACGTAAAATTAAAGAGGATAGAATGAATAAAAAGGCGAGGAAGTTGCGGAAAAAGGCTCAATTGGAAAAGGAATGTTTATCGGAGAAGATTCATTGTTTTCGACATGATAATGATCATTGGAAAACTGCACCGTTATGGACAGCTGGACCATTTTGTTTTTGTATGAACGCTAATAATAATACTTATAATTGTTTAAGAACTATAAATGCTACTCATGATCTTTTATACTGTGAATTTGTCACTGGAATGGTTACTTATTATAATTTAAGAATGGGTAAGATTATTATTTTTGGTTTTTTTTAATTACCAAATTTTATTATTTTTTTAAACAGATCCTTTTGAGTTACAAAACCGTATTAATCATTTAAAACCCGAAGAACGATCTTACCTTCATGATCAATTAATGGCATTGATGGCTTGTAAAGGAAAGGAATGCATGTTAAATCATCATCATCACCCGCAACAACCGGCTTTACAAAATCCCAATCGAAGACCAAATCAATTTTCTAATAATTACAATCAACCGCACAATACTCATAGATCAAAAAAAAGAAGATATGATGAATTTAATAGTAAGTTTAAAACAATTATTTATGTACAATGTTTGTAAAGTTTTATTTTTCATATAATCAGCGAAAGATACTTTTTTTTTGGTAACTTACTATGAAATTGTTAATTATTTCATGGTAGTTTGTCCAAAAAGAAAGTTTTAAAGGTAATTTAGGTGGCTTGTAGAAAATTCATTTGAACCTATTTTATTAATTAGACTTAGAAAACTATACGGGGCGAGTCAAAAGGGATAATTCAAACATAAGGAGTGTCTACTTGAAAATTTGCAAACATCATATAATATAGAATATAATGGCATATTATGCAGATCGTCCCACAGTCCGCACACTCTATTTTCAATTTTGCATAGTGCTACATACTTGTAAACAACGACTTTTGTCTGCACTTTCTTACCACATACTTGAATTCAAACTTTATGAAAGCTAAATTCATAGTGTATTCTGCATATTTCGATTTAGCTTTTTAGTTAGTGAATCTACTATGCACTGTGAGCTTTGTTATAGAACTGGAAAAGAGAAACATATTCCACACACATACTACGAAAGATTTCAAAAACGAGTTAATGGATATAAGATATAGCAACCAAACATGTATGTATTGAATGGACGAAGAGTGAGCCTCAACTCAAAAGAGAAGCCCTGGTCTGCACACTGATGCTTCAAATACAGTTGAAACATTAAAATGCCAGTTTGGATACAACTATTTTTCAGATTAAATTTCTTGCCATAAACTTCTGCACCGTTTTGAACCATGAGAAGAGACAAAAAGGGGTATTGCGTTACGTGTGAATCCGCACTGATTAAAGAATGTACCGATAACCTGAAAAACACATGATGGGTAATGTAATATATAGTGGGTTCCAAAGAGACCGTGAAATCGCCCTTTATTGGACCCCAACCCAGCTCTGGACTACAAAAAAGCCACTTAACCTAGGTGATTAACACATGGGAGGACTCAAAGGTAGCCTTGCGCTGGAAAGAACTGCCAAATAATAAGTAACAAGTATTTTTAAAAAGTACTTAGAGTAATAAGTAATTTTACTTGAAACTAAAATTTCAAGTACCCAGTACAAAGTAATTACAACCCTTGAATGATATATGTACATATCTTGTATTTTAAATCTTACCTTTTAAATAATTCTCCTGTACTGAGTAATCACACGCGGTAGAAGTGTTATTCACCTGCACTCAGCACTATGAGCTGCACTAACAAGTATTAAGTACCTACAATTTGATAGTACTGGCAATAAACTACTTAAAGTAAAAATGTACTGAATACTTTATTTGCAGTACATTTTTACTGCAAGTAGCACAACTCTGAGTATGATAACTCCATCGCAGAAGAAAACCAAAGAAGTTTTATGCCTCAGTAAAGGAGACTTAAGGATACTCTTATGTTTCCTGACCGGCCACACATCCCTAACTTACGTGTCTTCAACATTGGACAAGCTGAGGATCAAACTTGTCGAAACTAGTGTGGCTGCATCGCCAGAGGTCATCTAAAATACAAAATTTTTGGAAAGGTTTGTCTGACATCTCCTGACATAAAGAAACAAGACGTAGGGCAATACTAAGATTCATTAACAACCTAGATCTAGGAAAGACTGCAACATATTTTATTCTGCATATTTGCCTACGATGATTCATACGTCATTCAAATCGACATTCCATGCATACAAGGCAGGTAAAACTGAAAACTGTCAATATAATTTTTTTAACTATGTTTGGCACACAAGATTTTCTCTAGAAGATCCTAAATTGATAGATTAGTTCAGTAAAATCTACATGCAGTTTAAAGATTTTGTAGCCTTAACATTACATTTTTCCGTCGGATTTTATTTAGTTCAAGTTCGATTCGTGGGGGAGTAATACTTTTGCTCAATTTTTAAGTGATTAGTGTTGGTACTTGTTTGCAAAAATTAACCAGGACCTAAGTTTTTTTTCTGATAAAAAATTTCATCCCATCAATCACTCAACCTGCAGTTCTGACTGTTGCTATGAAACCCGGATCATGATTCATCATGGTGTGGAAGTCCACAACAGTTAATTTGGTTGACTTTAAATTTTCCCAGATTTTCTGATCTATGTACAAAGATGTTTTATGTAGCCATGAAGGCGCGAGGAGTGTTCTGGACACTTCTACCATCATTGACATTCGATTCCACGCATTTTGAACGACATTGCGAATATTCACAGCTCTGATATGTCAAAATACGAAATCATCATTTTGTATAGTTCGTTAACTATAGCTAACTAACTCGAATATCAGAGCTCAGATCCAAATAAATTTAAAATAATTACAAAGTGTAATTATATTATTGCAACTTTTCGAATCGTTAAAATCTATTCTACACCCATTAGAAAAAAACCTAATTCATATTCTGTAATAAAAATGAGCGATTATTACAGTGTAAATATAAATTATCAGCATAATAACTGGCTCCTCTTAGACCACTGATTAATACCCAGTTAAAGAAGGTTAGGTAGTGTCAGTTTTCTTTTGAACTGCCAATCAAATCGTGAAGGAATGTTGAGAAATATTACGATCGTTTTGCAATGGCAAGTAGATTTTCATCAACAACTCAAGCCTAGCCTAACTACTATAGATGGTGAGCCAGTTAGTTTCAATTGCAGAAAACCAAGGTATACAGGGTTTGCCAAAACTCCCGGGACGGAGCTATAAGTTTTGAACGAGTGAAGAAAAAAATTTGAAAATTTGGGGATCACTAAAGAATCATAAAAACTACATTTTTAGATAGTTTAGAACATCCATGCAATGTAGAGTTTTTTAGGGGATGACCACTCCTACATTTTTAAATAGCAACCCCTATCGAGTTTTACCTTATTTTAAAGGTAATGGAAAAAGAAACACAACCCCATAAACCAAAACCCGATATCTTAATTCTTTCAAGAATTATGAGGGGTTGACTACCAAATGGGAATTGAACGAAGGTGATCTCGAAAGAAGGTTGGAATTCTGTGAAACAGCACGTGAAAAATGCGATGTTGACAGAAATTTTCTTTTGAACGTTGTTTTCTCTGATGAGGCTACTTTCGACTTGAATGGTAAGGTTAATAGGCACAATTGTCGTTATTCGAGTGACGAAAATGCACGTTTAATAAGAGAAGGTCTTACTCAGAGACCGCAGAAAATTAATGTATGGGCTGGTATTATGGGAGAGAATGTAATTGGTCCATTTTGTGTTTTTTCATCATCTGTTAGAAAATATAGTTGTTCTAAGTGTACGTACCGTATGCCCTAATGGTATTGACAATAAGTGGTTCCAACAAGATGGTAGTCCTCCACATTTTAGTCGCGCAGTCCGAGACTTTTTAAGCCGTACATTTCCAAACCGTTGGATTGGTAGTAGAGGTGACATTAAGTGGCCACCGCGATCTCCTGATCTAACACCACTCGATTTTTTCTTTTCGGGATTTCTGAAAAGTAGAGTGTATGCAACAAAACCAGAATCAATCAATGATATGAAAAATCACATACTTGAAGAACCACCAATATCACTTGGGATATGGTCCTGACGGTTCAAAATTCCATCTATGAGCGTTTGGGTTATTGCGAGACCGAAGAAGGTTGACAATTTGAACATTTGTTATAAAAATCGTAATAAAAGTGCAAAAAAGCATGAAAATATTTTATTTTCCCATTTGGTAGTCAACCAAATTTGGTTTATGGGGTTGTGTTTCTTTTTTCATTGCCTTTAAAATAAGGTAAAACTCTACAGAGGTTGCTATTTAAAAATGTAGGGGTGGTAATCCCCTAAAAACATCCACATTGCATGGAAGTTCTAAACTATCTAAGAATGTAGGTTTTATGAGTCTTTAGTGATTCCCAAATTTTTAAATTTTGTTCTTCACTCGTTCAAAACTTATAGCTCCGTCCGTGGAGTTTTGGGAAACCCTGTATAGGCTACTCGTTGTTTAAAAGTCCACCAATTTCAGTCAAAAATCGAACACCTAACGTAATGTCGTATATTTCTTATTGTTCAATTTTAACAACAAAAGGTATAATAATAATTATCATTGACGAGCAACCTTAACGATTTCAAGCAGTATGAAGGAATTCATATATTGTGGAACTGTACGTTCGATTGAAGTGGTTGTTGAGATATTCAGCGTGGTCGAAATAAGTAGTGGGTAAGTTGAAATTTGTGACACTACCTCATAGATACAAGAATGACAACACATATAGTAATGCTTGGCTACAAGAAACCATGATGAAAATATAAGATTTTGCGCCGAAATAGATATTAAGCTGCAATAGGTATTAGTCCGCGCCACGGCTCAATTATCAGAAATCATACTTTCTTTTTGACCATTAAGCCAATGTCGCTTGCGGCCGAGGCCCTGCGATATGATATTAATCAGTGAGCGTCCGCAAGTCGAGACTTGACGCCGAGGTGATACGATATGACAACCAGTTTCAAGTTGATAAAATCTTAATTACTGAATACACACCAGCACCATCTTTTCCGATTGGACAGAACTTTCCTCACCCAGCGTGGCTCTTTGCTGGCCGTAAATATATCGAAATATCGTTAAAATAAAATATGCCTCTCATTAAGAATATGTCAGACTATAATGTGTTCAAAGTTCATGTTTTCTCGGCAAATAGTTTTTGAGAAAATAAAATCGCAAAGTGGACAAAGTTGCCGGCACTCTCAAAAATCGGATACTTTTTTCATTAAACTGGCGATAAAAGGAAAACCGCGGAGATGAAAATTTTCAAATTCTTACAAGTTACGTAAGGTAACTAAATTACAAGTAACCTACCGGACTTATAACTACTTGTTAAACATTCTTATGTAGGTAAAACACTCCTAATGTTTGATTCATTCCTACTGAGTTGCCCTGCATACTAAGTGCTATGTAGGATGCTTGACATTGTCGCCTTACAAAAATACAAAAGGCTTTCATTTAAAGTTTAATACCTTTGTAAAATTACCGAAAAATCTAAAACTTAGGAATAAACCATAGCTGTGTTAGGGAGTATTCGAACTTGAATCTCCAGCTTAACTCATTTTATGATTGGGTTTTCCAGATGATTTGGATTTAATTTTGACGTTAAAAGCCGAAACACATGGTTTATTCCCTTACCCTGCTTAGTATCGGGTTAATCATTTCGCTACCCTATGTATAAATAACACCTAACATTAATTTAAAAAAAATCATAAATATCACACTAATGCTAAGCTGTATATTTAGTTGCGAGAACGCTTCCATTACAATCGGAGTATTCATCAAGACAACAGTACCCTACAAACGACAATCGCCCATTCAATATGTCGAAGTAAGTAGATACTTTCGAATGAGAACTTAAGGGCAAATTTACAACATAAAAAACCTAACAAAAACGTTTCCTTTTAAGTAAATAAAATTTAATTAATTTGACTTGAATTTATAGGCCATGGAGAAGGAGGAAGACCTGGACATGGAGACAGATACGAGAAAAGGAACGTAGGAGGCACACAACACCTTCAGGACTCAAAAAGAAATGGAACCAGTAGGTACTCAAGAACGTACTAAGGAAATTCGATCATAATACTCAAAATAGTATTTTGGGAATCGATTCAATGACTATCAACTTATTATTTAAATTATTTATTTCTCGATGTAATCGTGATGTGAACATCGCATGACTGAGAAAACGTAAAAAAAAATTGCATAAAAAGAAAAAAAAATTTATTGTGTCGCTGTATAGAAATGTGATCTCTAATTTATTGAATTTACTTTTAATATAAAAAAGGGCTTCTAGGAGCTTAATGCTTTGTGTGTCTCAACGTGTAACGACGCGAAAGGCCGCGACAACAATCAATTTCGATTAGAATATATGAAACCAATAATAATTGCTAAGTTTTAATAATGAAAAATAGAGCGAGAACGCGTAGAAATGTGTAAAGTGTAGTTAGGTACCTGTCGATAACTAAATAATGATTTTTGTAATGTGCAACGAAACTGTTTTTATTCTAATTTAAGTGTACATATTGTGTCGTCTCGAAAGCTGTTTTATACCATTTCCTCATACTCTGTAATTGTTTTTTTTTAATAACATTTTCAACGAATGTGATACGGCTCATACAGATGTAATTATGTAATGGCAATAGTGATTAAATAAAAAATAAAGGCAATAATTTTAAAAGTAACCTTTCACTTACAATTATCTCCTAAACTAAGTTTGTAATGGCCAAAAATTCTTAAATTATTTAAAAATCGAAAAGTGAATCAATATTAACATCATCTTGGAAGAGTTTGTTTACTTTCGAGATATTAACAACGCTTTTCTCTTTATTTGGATTATCTACCTCTTCAGTTTTAAGATTTGCCTTATTTTCTTCTATGTTTTTTGGCATAGTAAACTCAGAATTTACCCTTCTCTTTTTTTGAATGTGTTCTTCATGATATTCATCTTCAAATGCTGGTTTATCCCATTCATTAACTTTGGATGGACTTTGAGGCATAAATTCTTTTTGATTGTCATCACAAGTTTTCATTTCACCTTCAAGTCGAATTTTATTTAAATGTTGTACAAGTTCACGACATTCCTTTCCTGTACCATTAGCATAAACTTTCATCAAGGATTGTTTTGCTCCGCACATCTTACAAGTCCAGTTTTTTACTTTTTTTACAATATCAACCTATGGACATTCAAAATTAGCTTTTATAACCACAAATTCAAATTTTACTTACTTGGAAGGTGTTGCACATGTAGCATTTTACAACATGTAATTCTTGAGGCATTATTCGAACGATTTTATTGTTAATACAAAAATTTTAAATTATGGTTAAGATATAACCTAAATTTTATTGCAGTAATTACAGATTTCTACCTAGAAAAAAAGATTTCTGTAACAGGAATACCATCTATAAACGAAAAATATTCCATTATGGAATTATTAACATTAATTAACACAAATTTAAGCAAAACTTTATAAATTTAGAGTAAAAACGAAGAAAATTTATTATTAAATAATAAATTTGGGGTAATTTAACAAATAAGGTTGGACTCCTGGTGAAAATATGGCGTAAATTTGAAAATCAATATAAGAACCACGCACAACATGCCGAAAACAGATCAATTTTCCTTCCTGAATAATTGAAATTTTGCATCAGAATTCATTTGTAGCACACAATGACCAAGTAATACATCAATACATTCGTAAAATACATGATTATAAAACCAATTTTCTAAATCAATCCTTAATAAAGTGATAATGCACATGAATACAGTTCAAAACAATTTGCTCGAGTGGAAAAATAGGCTATGTGAATGAAGGCCAACTCTTTGAATTTCCACGTAAGTAAAATATCATAATCGATAAATAAAATTAAGGGTGTAACAAATGTATCGTTATAGATAATAGTCTTGTGTTTATTGTCTTTGATACCATGGCCTGGCCCAATGGTGTTCAAGATTTCTTGCCCAAGAGATAACGCGAGGATCGTTCGAAAGATAATCCAAAACAAATGGGCGCCCGTTTTAGATAAATTTAAAGTCACGTTACCATTAGAATGTCCGTTTCACCCTCAAAGAGACATTTTTGGTCCTCAACAAATGGCCAAGTACCAATTTAGACCTTCACAATGGACCTGTGGTCTATGCGGAAAATCGTTTTTTGAAGAGAAATTTTTAGACATTCATCTAGATAATCGTCATAAAACTCACATAAACATGGTAAAATAAAAAAAATAAAATAAAACTTTTAATTTAAATATCCATTTCGAATGTAGGCTGAAGATGCAGTGTGCCTTGCTGATTATTGCGACATAATGCGTTGTGATGTATTGGTAAATCACTATCAAAAGACAATGTACCATGAAGGGACAAACACCGACATCGAAATTTGGAGGGAAGCTTCGTCTTATTCGCAAGCACTTGCACCAACGGGACCCAGAGAAATCGCAAAGTATTCATCGAAAAAAAGTGCAAAAGCAACATTAAAATCAAAAGAAAAGGGACATTGTCAGAAATCTGAAGCACCAAATACATCAGAAGGAAACGGTAAGGTTAATACTAATTATTTATTACATACTTAGAGCTTGGTATTTTCCTAGAAGAATCAAACGATGAAAAATCACAAAATAATAGTTATAAAAATATTTGTCAAAATGATTTGGTAGATTCTGCTTTACCCGCAGCAGGTAACAAGCAACAACGTATAATAGAATTAGAAAAACTTAAAGCTAACTGTAAACCTGAAGAGCTACAAAAAGTCAAAATAAAATGTGAACTTGTAGTACATGATTGTGTAGCAAGCTTACTAATCCATTTATCAACTAAAGATTTTAAAGAAGTAGAAGGTACCCATTATTTAAATAATCCTTTTTGTTAATAATAATCCTTTTCTCGTAACTATCATTCTAGAAGAGTTAAACAGGGCTGTATGTTGGTATTTAACTTGTGATCGTTACTGGGAAGATTCGCATGCCGAATTAAGACAATTTCCTTGGGGTTTACTTTGCATGGTTGTGATGGTGATGTCTTTGGGAATATGCTTTTGCTACTATATAGTATGGGTGTTATTCGAGTAAGTATACGGCAAGATGACGTCGATGTACATCAAAATTAAGAGTCCGTTTTATAGTAATGATGATATTAGTGTTACCAGCGCTAGTTTAACGGACCGATCAACGCCGTCGCCCGCGCACTTGCTTAAACATGACCAGCAGTATCTTGACGCGCATCAACAGCCATACAACGAGGACTATTACGCTACAGACAAAGATAATGAATACATTTACGTCACTTATCCACCCGATCTTAAAAGACGGTTGTTAGAGAGGTAATCTTTTTTTATGTTTTAATTTTATGTAGGGTAACTTGTAACATTACTTGCTATCATAAATATTATCTGATTGAATACAGAAATTATGTCACAAGTAACCAGAAAAATTAATTCCTATAATTTATACAAAGAATTTCATTTAAGATGCAATATACAAAAATATATTTTTATAGAAACCAGGGCATACTTTATCCCACATAAAATGCAACATGTCAATATACCTAATTTGAAATTACAGTAAAACCTCTAACAATCTAGCGCTGAATAACTAATAAAACTAGACTAACACTAGCACTGGAACTAACAATAGACCTAGAAAGACAGCTGGTAGGTAGAGCTAGTTAACATAAAATAGCACTATGTTGCATATTTTTATTGAACTAAAACTAGAACTAACACTAGACCTACAACTAGAATCATTCGGGTTTAGCCGTCTTGAGACGTGCGGCTAAATCCGAATATTTCTAGTTCTTGGTCTAGTGTTAGTTCTAGTTTTGCACTAGCACTATCACTAAAACTAACACAAGACCTAGGACTAGAATCATTCCAGTTTAGCCGTCTTGAAAGACGCAGGGCTAAACCCGAATGTTTCTAGTTCTAGGTCTAGTGTTAGTTTTACACTATCACTAGAACTAACCAGACCTACAACGGAAACTCAGAGTTATCATAAGGACGTCACCTTTTCCAAGCAAAACTTTAGCATTTCATGTGGGATAGTGCAAGTGCATAGTAGTTTCGTAACTAAGGTTATTGCATTCATATATTGCAATTTAAATGAAATTCCCAGTAAAATATAGATTAGTAATTAATTTTGTTTTTATCGTTTAGCTGTTACAATAGAACCACACGCTTGTGAAGAGATAGAAGTTAGCCATCCCACACAATTTCAAATTCCAAGTCGTAGTAGTTTCAGATAAATCGTAGTTGAAATTCATTAGACTAAATAGACGTTTTTTTTTTTTTTTAAAAAAGAAAGAAAATCAAAAATTCTCCTTTTAGAGTAGAATTTTTCATTCGGTATTGAGCCGAAAAATAAAAGCAAAATTGATCAATTCTAATATTTATTGCCTTTTGTACACTATATTAGAAAATAATAACTATAGAATGATAAAGGGAGGGGGAAAATGATCGAAATCATGTGATTACGACTATTTTAATAATATAAAAAAAGAAATGAAGTGAACAGCTCGCTAACGTTTCTCTTTCGCCGCTTTCCAACAATAATTAGAAAGAATTGTCTCTATCTACAAAAGTTTGCAAAAACAATTTAACTTGTGATGGAAATAAAAATTTTATTGATATAAACGTTTGTTTTTTTTATAGTCTGTACACTATTCCACACGCCCATCAAAATTTTACTAAAAAAAATAAAAAGTAATACGAACGAGCGCGCACAATGTGACTACATTTTTAATTAATATTCAAATTTTTTTTATTTTTTTAATTTTCATAGAGAAATCCCTCGATGATAAAGAGGTAAGCTGAAAAATCCTATAAGAAAAAACGTTAACTCATTCACACATTGATTACATTCACGCATTGGAAAAGAATTTGTCATCGATAATACGATATTTAAATAGAAAGGAAGAAATGAAAAGCAAAAACCAAAAAACGATCTCGAACAAACCAACCGTCAAAAAATAAAACTTAATGGAATTAGGAAAAGAAAGAATTGGAAATATGGATAGAATCAAACCGTTTTCTCTCAATCATTAATACCCTCCTACACTTCTGATCTAATAAAAAAAGTATACGTTGTTTTGGGCTTTACCCATATATCAATCGTATTTTCGACGGTAAGGTCCCCCCCGACCATAATCCACCCTTGGACGTGACGATGTCTCTTCCATTCTCTTCTTGTGTTCCGCCATTCTTTCCAAACGTTGTTGTTGTTTTGTTGCAATCTATTAATTAATATATAAAAATTATTTTCTAAATCTTTATATGAAATGTATCAGTGTTTTTGTTATTTTTCGAATTATTAAAGGGTAAAAGGGAAAAACTATTTAGATCATATTTTTTATAAATTAAGATAAAATCTAAACGTTATTACAAAGCAAGGCTCGCAGAGTAAATTTTTGATATAAAGTTATCCAAGCCTTAGAACTCAAAGTAATGAATGTAACGAAGGTATTTAATAACAAAAAATAAACAGTTTGAGAATTACGAACTATCAGAACTATCGAATTATCAGAAGTAAGATTTATCAAACCCATAAGTTCGAAATGAGTTAACATTAGCTTTTATATTTGTTGTTCTTATGATTAAATAGTGTTTTTGTATAACTAGTATTTTTATAGTGCACATTTATCACACAAACAAAAAATATATAACTTGATAATAATGCAGAATCAGTTAACAAAAAGCAATATTTTCTGATTATTTGAATAATTATGTCTCTCCTTTCTTGCGCATTATAACTTTGTTGTGCATGGCTGCCCATAATACTTTACATGATAACAAGAAAGAAAACATCCTAATAAGATACTATATTATGATGCAAAAAATTTTATAACACTGTAGACTCCAAAATAAAAAGTGGGACTTTTTTATTTTTCTTGTACACATAACACAGTCCTGAGCCTATACATTCCATATCCAAGTTAAGAAAAGTCCTATCAAAAAATGAAGCAAGTATCTATTTTTACAGAAATTAAGTAATTCTAGAAAGGTTGATGTTCTGAAAATAAACATACTTTGTAAATATGTACATATTGCCCCTCCAGACAAAATATTTGCATTCTTTATAACAGGAATTTTTTAATTAGTAAGCAGCATGATATTTAACATTTGAGCCAGATCTCCTGAAATTGTATAAAGTAATATTTTGTTGATAAGTAACCAAATAAAAGTCTGTCAGTAAAATAAAGTATAAGTAAAAATGTACTAAAGAAAGCAGATATTTATTTCAAGCCATACATTTTTTATGGTCTTGAACAAAATGTTTATATCATCGTAACAAAAATAACATATCAAAACATAAAAAAAGAAAGAGAAGTGGTTAAATAGCCTCGTAGATCAGGTAAATACGAGACTATGTTGTGTTTTTGAGTTCCAGATCTACGCATAAGAGGTTGTGATGACCACTTGAACTGATTTGTTACTTTTTCGGCTTTAAAAAGGTCTTTATAAACATCAAATTTTGAACGCGTATCATGTTTGCTTTCTATATCCTGTTGTTCAGAACATTCACATCACTAACACACATCACTCTCCGTCTCGTTAAACCATTTATTTAATACATGTTCGATGTACCACAACTAATGATGTGGTGCCAATGCGACCCCAAATAAACTGTAATCGACAATAACACATAAACTGGACTCCTTATCTCTGTTAAAACACACCTGCTGATGCATGCGCAGGTAATTTAAAGGTGCATGGACTCATAGTGACATAACTCTAAAAATATGCGATTAGCACAAACTTTAAAACTCGCTGGGGTCAGAGAGGCACCATGTCACCAGTAGAAGGTTAAAATACTACCAGTAAATACAGTGTACAAACAATGTTTATGAATCATTCCTGCAATTTGTCCTGCTACATCCACCACAGGTAAATCAATAGCAAATGCGTTAAACAACCTTCGTGGACTAGAGTATGTTGGGACTGTATCAATAAGCTGAAAGTATAATGAAGTACATGCTATAATAAGACAATTATATCCGACAGCCTTGTATGTACAGGGTGGGCAAATTTGGGTGTTATTATAGGCTATCTCAGAAACTATAAGAGATACGAAAAATGGCCCGGTCGCTTTTTCCGAGACTAATCCAATCCCGCAAAGACTAAACCTCTATCTTCTTTTGTTTTTAAGTTATAACCAAAAAGTCAAATTTTCGTGATTTCAAAAAATTTTCATATTTCGTTTATTTTTGAAATTAGAGAAATGGGGGATACGTTCTTAAGACACTTTTTTAAGTGAATATACTGCCGTTGTTATAGCCAACATTTGGCTATATTTTTTGGCTATAACTTAAAAATAGAGGTTTGGTCTTTGCGGGATTGGATTAGTCTCGAAAACGAAGAGGGCTAAATTTCGTTTGCGCCATTGTAAGTTTCACAAAAAAGTAGCTCAGGTTCGCGAAAACCGCAACTTTCTATCTTTCGTAATAACTGAGATACCCTGCAAACCCATCGAAATTTGGACACCCATATGCACTTCTTATTTTTTGAATTTAGCTATTTCAGATGCCAGTTCTGTATGGGCTATTAGGAACTGTATCGGTTTGATAGAAAATGTGTTTCATTTATTTAATTGGTGTATTAACGAAAACGCCAAACTGTCTTAAGTGGAAAAGTTGAGGAGATGTACCACATCAAAACGAGACAGATTGAAGTAACTGAGTACTATACAATGAATTCAACAACAAAATTACATTGTTATAATGAAAGAACTGTTAATCTCTTTCAGAACTGCTAATGAAAGAAATACAATAAGTGAAAACAAATTAAATGGCATAACATTATTGTAGATTTATAACGCCCGATGAAGTGCTGGATGAACTTCAAAAGAAAAGGAGAAAATTGGATATCGTTTTGTAGACTAAATTTGCTTCAAGATTAACCAAGAGAGCCTATAAAACCATCAACTTTGAAAGTTTTCATAGGGAAATTCGAATATGCTGTTGATAAATACAAATTTCTGGCACATTCTATTATTTTATATGAACTTTAATAGTTCATTCTTTGATTAAAATAATTGTATCCAAAAGCAAACAACCTTATTTCTAAAAGAAGAAACAGCATCATGTTTAACATTCTGTAGTCGAATGAAGGAAACAATCCTTTGTAATATATCATTTTTTTTCTATTTATCTAATTGTAAGACTTCCAAAATGAATATTTAATTTAATTTGCATTTTAATATAGAAATAAAAATAATAAACTGTTGTTGCAACAACTAATTATTTAATAATAGGGATTAATTTATTAGAAACAAAAATATCTGTTGCAGAAAAATGTTCATAATTATTATTAAAAAAATCAAAACCAACATTTTTTCACATGAAAAAATGTAGAAAACCCCTTTTAGGCAATTTATATATAGAGTGTATAGATTTAAAAGTTGTAATAATAAGGTAGTAATAACAAAATAATAAAGTTTATGCAAATGTTAAATCCTTACAGTTGGTTAACCTTATAACATATAACTTAATGAGCCTTGGTAAAAATGTATATGACATAACACACCCTTAGCCAATAGTAGCCCTAGATAGTTTATCAAGAGGCTGGTAAAAATGTGCCTAAATTGGATAATTAAAAGAATTAATTGATATACTTAATTATTTATACTATGTTGAGAAATGCATTAACATTTGTGTGACATTTCAAAGGTGATAAAATTTTCATTTGTAACTAGTTAAAATCATAAACCCACTTTTCATGATTCACAATTAATTTAACTTAATATAATATAGTTGGTTTTCCCCTTCATACCCTTCAAGTAAAAAAATAATTAAAGCAAAAAAAATACCTCTTCGGGAGTGAGCGGTTGCCAATAAATACTTGGAGTGGCTGTGGTTTTTTGAAATAAATCATCCATTAATTTTTGTGGTATTTGATCTTCAACTTTCTTTCTCTTTTTCGCTAAATAATCTAAAATTAAATTTCTCAATAAAATTTATTTAACAAAATAATCAATAGCTTGCCATCTCTTTCTCTTGGTGTTGATGATCTCCTCGAATGTTTCCTTCTATCATGATCATGATCTGATTTTGATTTGTGTTGAACATCTTCTTTTCCCACATCCCACTCCCGAACGTGTTCCCGTCGGCGCGTTTCCTTCTCGTCCCGTTCTTTACTCTTCCTATCTTCTTTCTTCGTCCTATGTAAATCCTAAAAATAAAAAATTAGTAAAATTAGAAACAATTTTTTCTAAATTAAATTAAATTTACTTCATTTTCTTTGTCACTTTTTGATGGCTCAAGGACAACAGGTGCTGGTGGCGGTGGGGCAGGTGGATTTTTAGCATTAGCCAATTCCTCTTCTGTACTATAATCAATAATTAATTTTTTACCATTACCAATCGGCCAATGCACTCCATGCAAAGCTTCTCTTGTCCCTCGAGCCTCCCTAAAAATAATTTAACACATTAACTTTACATTAATTTATTCACACATTTAAACTTACTCTTCACTCTCATATTGTACATAACACTTAGATTTAATTCGGTCAGTCCAAAAACCATCCTCCTTAATTTTCCCAGTTCGTTCTAATAATTCCCTCAGTTGTTTTAAGGTAAACGGGCGCACCAAGTTTGTTATAAACAAAGTATCAGAAACGGGATTTTTAGCAGGACTTGGTGGCGGTTTTAAAGTCGTGGCAGAATCGTCAATAATTGAAATTTTTCGATTAAAAGCTATGATGTTAGTTTTTTCTTCGGGTTCCACTTCAGTCTTAAACGACTCTTCAGATGTTTGCCTTTCAAAATCCAATGACATCCTCCTGTCTGATTTATCCTCAGAACTTTCCGCGGTGGAAAATCGTCGAATTTTCGGCTCTGTGTGTTCTAATTTAACATCAGACTCTTCTAGAAATTGTACATCCGGATAAATATTCATCACTACATTTGAATCTATTATTTCTGCTGATATTAACTTTAAACCTTTCCCCCATCTTCTTTTTGGTTGTGTCTCATTAGTTTCATCTGATGTTGATGTCCTCTTGATTTTTATTTTTTGCACTGATGCTTTCCTTTCATATGTTCTTAATTTGATTTCTTCTGGTTTTACCTCCTGTTGCCTGATAGGCTCTTGTGATGTTTCAGGGGGTTTTGATACGGTCTGTTCCATTTTCTCTTCTATTTTTAAATCTTGTTGTATTTCATCACATGGTTTTTCATCTTGAGAATCTTGGGATTTCGTTCCTTCAGTTAAAGTTATTGAAATTTTTTCAAGTATCTCTGTTTGGCTTTCATCAATTTCCATTGGCACAGGATATTCATCTTTTTTTGGTGAAGTAATATCATTCTGATCATTTTCTAATTTTTGATCAGGTAGACTTTTCTTTTCATCAGTATCTTTTATCTCTAAAGACTCATCCTTTTTATTTATATCTAGAATTTCAAGTTTTTCACTTTCAGAGGCTATAAGAAAAAAACATTTATGAGAGTTTAAAATGTTAAAATTAGTTAAAACATTACCTTTTATTGATTCCATTTCTGATTGTTTACATTCTCCTGTACCATCATTAGAAGAATCAACAATTTCTTGATGTTCAGTTTGTTCTGTACAAACTGGAGATTTAATTGGAATCACCTCATCTCCTTCACCACTTTTAATATCATTATTTGTAATATCAAGGTTAGTGACATTATCATTAGTAGATGAATCGACAACATCAACACTTGATTCAACATCTTTATCATCATTGTGATCGTCGGACCTAGTACAATCAGGTTCCTGGTCTATTGTAGGTTTATCATCGACACTATCCGCAGCCGATTGAGTAACAATACTCTCACAAGTAACCGCGTTATTGATATCGGTTTGGGGTGACAGAGGCGTCACCTGTGCATTTGTACAAATTTCACTTTCGGTAACCGTTCCAGACGCATCAGTCGGCTCGTGATCGACCTTTGCCCTAGTTTTACCTTTAGACTTACCTTTATCAGCTCTACCTTCACCATCCACGTCGTCTTCAGGCTTCGTCGCTTCGCGCTGCCGCAGTCTGTTCGAGTTACGCGACTTGTTTTCATTTCCTTCTTCGGCAAGCTTTGAATCGCTCACCATTGGGGAGCTACTTGCTTTGTTACGTCTTGTCTTTTTTTCAATTATTTGAGGAACTTCCTTCTCTGTATTTTCCTCTAAAGTTGAATTTACTTCAGAATCTGAGGCTACTTTTTCAGCCTCTGCAACTACCATTTGAGGCATTTCTTGTTCTTCTTCTGATTTTTCACTTTCTGAAGATGTTGATTTTCTTCTTCTTTTTGACGTTCTGCGAGACTTTCTTGTTGGTTGTTCCGCTGGTTTAGCTTTTTCTTGCGCTTTAGCTGCATTTCTTGTACTTTTTCGTCTCATTGTTGAATAAATATCTAATAAAACAAAACAATTGTGTTATTGATCTAACAACAATATAACAACCTTATCTATCCATCATAGCAAATTAAATAGTCCGACTTTTATAGAAACTCAAAGAAAGTTTATCTTAATCAAATAACAATCAATCCTGTATATTTCAGATAAAACTACACATAACAATAATAACTGTACATATAAAAATTATGTAGATGCATCCGTTGGTTAGAAATGATTGAGGTTATGTTATGAAGACGCCATTGGAGTTACGCCGAAAATTAATGTAAAAAATATATTAATTACTTACATTTCGATACTCACGAAGTTTACGGCTACTCAAGGAAATGCACAAACGATTTTTTTAGTGTTTCCGTGCGTGCAGGCTTAATTATTTACGTAAAATCAGTTGAAGATGTTTGTAGACAGAATTATGACATAAACGTTTTCGGTAATTGCGATGTTCTCCGCAAATCACAGGAAATGCGGCGCTGATATCGTTTTACAAAAACAATTTTCTTTTTTAATGTTAAAATTGAAGTAATATTCAAATTTTAACATTATTTTTAGTCAAAATAAGCTGATTATGATATTTTGTTAATAATTCTTACACTGTAGATTACACTTAAGGAATAGAGTGGGGGTAAACAATGTAACATCAGCAACTATATATATTCTGTGTGAAACAACATTTTCATCCAGATGATACATATTGTTCAAATGAATTTTAAAGATAGAGGAATATGAATGTAATAAACTTGTTTATAGATAACAATTCTATAAAACAACATAAATTAATATTTTGTTATGAATGTGTAACTTGTAGTATAACAAGTTACACATTCGAACTAAATACATCTTTGAGGCAGCTTCATAAAAGACCAAGATAAGAAAGAAAAAGGAATAAAGTTTTCAAATAATCTAATAATTCGACAAAAATAAAAAGAAAGAAGAAGTAAATAAATTCAAGCTTCGGTATATGTCAGGGTCGGTGTATACAGATGTATCTGAATGACTAGATTCAGATGATTAGAAAATTTTAATGAAAAAATCTTCGTTTTCCCAATATTTATTTGCATTCCCCTTCATAGGTGTTAATTTGTAATAAGCGATTGTGAAATGTTCTTCTTGTTTCACACTACTTAAAATAATAATTTATTACGTTAAAAACCCGCAGGTTAAAAACATTCGTAAAAAAATAAAATAAAATAAAATAATACAATAGCAGTTGTCAAATAGTAGTTGTGAAGTGAAATACAATATACAATAAGAATATGCAGAAGTGGCAAGGTTGCTTGCAAGCTTATAAATTACAGGGAACAGTCGAAAGCCCAAGCATCACTTAAGAATTCTTCAATACTGTAATAGGCCCCTCTCCAAATATCTTTAATTTTAGTGACCGAAGTCTTAAAAGATAAGCGCATGAAAGCATTATACACAACATTGTAAAATTTTATCCCATAGTAGTTGTATGCGTTTCTAAATTTATGAAGTCGTAATGAAACATGCCGAACGTCATTCCTCCATTTTATGGTGACAATGATGCAATAACATGAATTTTAGGTATTCCAACATATACAGGTTGGTTCAGTTTTTAATCGGGAAACTTTACTAAGATGTAGTACTTCCCAAAATAACACAAGTTTTTTATATAAACATAGGGTCGCAACTCTTTTGTTTTCGAGCTATGAGCTGTCAAAGTTGAGTCAAAAATTTACACTTTATCTTTTATTTCTTGTATAAGTTAACCGTAGAATTTGAAATTTTGTATATATATACTACTGCTTAATACCTTATTTTCAACCATATCTTAAACTTCCTTAGCACCCTCTAAGGGGATGAAGTTTACCACCCCCTTGACTTTTTTATAAAAACTTTTTAACGCTATGGAATATTAATATAAAAAATATGGGTTGTAAAGCACATTCTTTAGTAGTACTTTTTTGTCTCTTTAGTATTTTCCTTAAAGGTAATAGTTTCCGTGTAAAGCAAATAAAATATCGTGCCATGTACCGCTATGTTTAGCTAAAATTACTCTAAAAGTTGGCTCTGAGAACTTGTAAGTTTCATTTACGGTGAATCCTCATAATTGTTGATGATTATTAATAATTTTTGACTATTATTAAGCAAGAGCATCCATTTTTTAATATTGTTTAAAACAACGTAATTTGTTCAGACAGACATTCATCTTATTTATGGCTTTTCTTATGAAAATCACAATTAATTGGTGTTATTTAGTTAGTACTAGATCCTAGTAACTGCATAACTTGCATAGCCAGCTATAAAGAAATTTTTTTTTGATTATAGCAGCGCTTTACAGTACAATGTAACATATTTTATTTTAAACTATTATCTTTAAGGAATAAACTAAAGAGACAGAAAAGTACCAATAATGAATAAGCTTTACAATTAAACAAAAAAAATTAAAGGGTTTGTGAATTTCATCCCTTTAGAGGGCGCTAGAGAAATTTAAGGTATGGTTGAAAATAAGGTATTAACTAGTAGTACATACATACCAAATTTCAAATTCTACGGATAACTTATACCCGAAATAAAACATAAAATGTACATTTTTGACTCAACTTGACAGCTCATAGCTCGAAAACAAAAAAGTTGCGACCCTATGTTTATATAAAAAACTTGTGTTATTTTGGTAAGTACTACATCCTAGTAAAGTTTCCCGATTAAAAACTGAACCACCCTGTATAATGAAAGAGGAATGACAATCATCTCTATAATTTAGTTTAGCAATATTACGAATGCCTCTTCTTTGTATAGTGAAAATTCTTTTACTCATCGGGGCATGTCCCCACGCAAGCATACCGTAGCTAACATGACTTTGGAAAAGTGCAAAATACGCAGTACTTTAGTGGAAGAAAACTCCGAGAGACGCCTCAACAAAAAAACAGTGGAATTCAAACGAAAAGCTAAAACTTCCCTATGGGAGTTCCATGTAAATCCAGGATCCACATGGACACCAAAAAATCTGATTGCATTCTCCGAATATAAAGACTCGGCACTCTGTTCAAGTGTTAAAGTCATTGGCTCTGTCTTGCCACTATTCAAAGTCAGGGGATTACTAGCAAACCAGTGCTTTGCTGAAAAGAAGGTAGGTAATTTATGTAAATTAAAAATAGAATAGGGCCCAAAATTGACCCCTAGGGAACACCACTCGTGATACTTCGAAGATTAGACATAGCAGAATTAAATTTCACATATTAGCTTCTCTTTGTAAGATAAGAAAACAACAATTTCCACGCTTCTGGTGCTACATTGTACGCATATAATTGGGAATTAAAACTGAATGACAAATGCAATCAAACACCTTGGTAAGGTCGAAAAAAGTAGCTTTAGTGCACTGAGAGGCTTTTGAGAGAGGTTTTTTGAACCGCTAGAACGGACGAAGACTCTTTTCTAAAGCCAAATTGTTTGTTAAAAATATTTTAAGTTTCAAAACATGTAAATAATTGATTTTTAGTGACCTTTCAAAGACTTTTGATAATAAGGGTAGTATACTAATTGGGCTATAGTTGGAGGCATCATTAATATCACCCTTTTTGGATAGCAGCAAAACATGTGCCACCTTAAAGTTATCTGGAAAACAGCCAGTAGTTAAACACTGGTTAAACAGAGTATCAAATACAGGAATCAAATGGTTTTTAACTTTTTTAATCATGATTGCATAGAGTTCAAAGATATCAGCAAACTTGCTTGGCTTGAGGCTGTTAAAAGCATCCAGTACCTCGATCTGTGAGAAGGGTTGAAATCACAACCCTTAATTTACAATCCTCATAACCCATAATTATTTGATCCATAAAAATCAGTGTGGGCACAGGCTGTCCCCCTATTTCATACCCTTCTTCTCTATATTAAAGTTTTCAGATATTTCTTCATTTAGCCTGATGTACCCTTTTACCTCGCTATATACACTTTCAATTGTTCTTTGTAATTTTTTGTCTATATCTAACGCTCGTAAGGCTTTCTATATTTCTTCTTTTGGTACTGTATGAAAGGCTAATGTTAGGTCCACACATGCTAGGTATGTGTCCTTACCCATTTCCATTGTTTTATCTATTAATGTTCTGATTGTGTATATGTGGTCTTGTCTATCCCTGGTAGGTCGAAACGCCGCTTGTTTCTCTTACAATTTATCTTCTGCTTCTTTTTTTAGGCGTTTTTCTAGTATTTTTGTGTATATTTTTAGAGCTACCAACGAAAGACACACTGCTCTATAATTTTCACATTTTGTGGTTTCCCCCTTCTTATGTATTGGGATAATATTATTTCCCCATTCACTCAGTATTGTCTCTGTACACTATATTGTCGCTTTTCCATTTCTCATTGTCTTTAGGGCTTCATCTTCAACCTCATCATCTTCCCCTCCTCCTTGCCTTCCATGTAGTGTTTGTATCCCTTCCTCTTCCTTAAATTTTGTGCTGCAATGTTCTTTCCATGTCCTTAATATTTCTTTATTTGATGTTTTTAGATCGCCGTTTTGATGTTTGATGTTCCTTATCTGTTTTCTTTGGTATCTTTTCAATCTCTTAATTGTATTCCAGAATTGTATACTATACTATACCATTCTTTAACACCTGGTACATAATCTCAACTATCTACACTAAGTAGTCTGATGTGTTTGCATTATGATTAAATACAATCTAAAGCAATATAAATATCATGATGATATTAACATCATCAGGAGTCATTTTTATACAATCTTCATTTACTAAACAGTATTCTGCCTGATGAATAACAATCCAACCTAAACAATAAACATATTTAAATAATAATGTGATATCTGGTAGACAATAATAGTAGAAGATAGTGGTCTCACATAGGGGTTAAACAGGATTTCTTAAATAATTGTATGCTACTGTTATTTAATAATATTCTTGAAATGATTCAAAATTTTATACTAATGAAAATGATGACAAATCGGTAAATAAGAAATGGTTGCGTAATTACCCGCAAATGTCAAAATTTGTAGCGCTGGTGTCGTTTGTTAAAGAAGGGAATTTATTGTTAAAATTCGACTAAAAGTTTAAAATTTAATATCATTTTATCTAAAAATAAATTAATTTGTAATTTTTCATATTTTCATACATTTTTGATTATATTGTAAAATTTGATTTTATTTTCGTAAAATCAGTAGACGTGTAAAAGTTAAAAATTATCAACTTAAAATTGTTATCTAAAGTTATCTTGTTACTCTTCAGTAGATACTCAAAAAAAAAGCATTTTTTATGTTTTCAATTTATTACTAATCTTGTTGTTAATGCGAAAAACACGTAATTTGTTGGCAAGCATTTTTTTCCCAACAGTAGTAGTGAGCCTTATTGTACTGTCACTGCTACGTATAAAATTTTTCTTTATCTCTCGATAAATTCAGTGACGTTACACGTAGTGTACTCCGTTTACATTTTTATTTGAATTTATCGCACAAAATGTATTAGTAACTCCACACGGCAGTTATCGTATAAAAAATGGATTCGAAAGTCGTGTTTTTATTTCTAACCTATATCACTATCTCACAAACGTTTTATTTACCCGGCTTGGCCCCCGTTAACTATTGCAAAAAGGACGAATCGGAAAAATGCAAGGTAACCTATCATTTTTTACATTTTCGCCCAACATAACCTAAACAAAATTATTAATCATTTCAGACCGAAGTACCTTTATTCGTTAATAGATTGAATACGGATGAATCTGTAATTCCCTATGAGTATAGTCATTTCGATTTCTGTACATCAGACAATGATAATAAATCCCCTGTAGAAAATTTAGGCCAAGTTGTCTTTGGAGAAAGAATACGCCCTTCAAGTTACAAGATTGAGTTTATGAAAAATGAAACATGTAAATTGTTGTGTATTAAAAGCTATAAAGGGGGAAAAACTCAAGATGAACGTTTATTAAGTATTTTACGGAAAGGCATTAATTTAAATTATCATCATCATTGGATTATTGACAATATGCCTGTTACGTATTGTTATGATTCTAATGAAGGACCGTATTGTAAAACTGGTTTTCCAATGGGATGCTACTCAAGGAGTAGTAAAGGAACATGTTATCCACCTTTAAAAGATGGACATTATATTTTTAATCACGTCGATTTAACCATTACTTATCATTCGGGTAAACATGAAGAATGGGGCTCTACTTTTCAAGAGATGGGAGGAAGAATTATCTCGATAAAAATTCAACCTAGAAGTATACAACATTCAAAACCTGAGTATGTAAATTAATTTACAAATTAATTTGAATAAGTCCTTTTTATTTAACTGATTATATATTAGTAAAGAAGAACTTTACTGTTTTATAGCAGGATTTCCCAATCAAGGGGGCACGCCTCCTTAGGAGGGCGTAGAGAGGTGTTATTTTTATAATAACAAATAATCTCTCATAGTAATCAGTATTGTTTGTGATACTTGGGACAGAGTATTTCTTATATCAGTAAGGGTGGCCCTACTTGGACCAACCCAACCCAAGTATTACAAACAATAGTTATTGCGGCCGAGATTATTTCTTATATCAATAGAAATAAAAAAAATTGTAATAAAAAAATTAAAGGGGGGACATAATAATTATTTGAAACGTCAAAATTTCAAAAAACGTCAAATTAATTCAATTTTTAGAACTTTCTAAAGGTTTGACATTAAAAAAACCTAAACAAATCCCTTTTTCCTATGATTTAAACATAAATTAATTAATTTTCGTAAAAAAGTTTCATAAAATTGACATTTAATTTTGACACATTGTTGTGAAGTTGGTTACAGTTGCTAACATTGAACTTGTCACATTGACGTTTAAACTTTATTCAAAAATTTATTTAAAAAAATAAATTTATGGAATCAATTTCAATCGTAGTCGTGGACAAAGTATAGTATTCTACTCACATATAATGAGCTATTATTCACTCAAATTTGGTTTTTCTAGCTTAATGTATTACGATTTCAATGTTTTAGAAATTTAAGACCCAACTTTGAAGGCCTATAACTCCTCAGGGGTACAACTTAGTATAGAGATAAGTTGCGTTAAATCATCTTAATTTATTGTCCTCTACATGTCCCTGCTCTGTGTCGGTTCTTATCTAAATCACCCTGTATTTGCTCATCTAATAATATACTATTATAATTCCAGGAAGCTCGACGAAAAAGAAATTGGGAAACCCTTTAAATAGCTTTTAAATAATTAAAATTTTCTGATGTTTACCTTTATTCAATTATTTCTTGTTTCTTTTATCAGTTTCTATGTTATTTAAGCTGCACCCATATTCTTATCTTGTACTTTTTTAATTAAGTTAATAATCTTTTTAGTGTTGATGATTGTTCTATAACTGAACACCTTGAAATACCCACACAACTTAAAAAAGACGAAGAATTCATGATCGCTTACACCTATACGATAAAATTCATAGAAAACAACACAATAAAATGGTCCTCAAGATGGGATTACATCCTTGAATCTATGCCCCACACCAATATTCAATGGTTCAGTATTTTAAATTCCCTCGTAATCGTTCTTTTCTTATCTGGAATGGTTGCAATGATTCTTTTAAGAACATTACATAAAGATATCGCTCGTTATAATCAAAATGATAGCGGTGAAGATGCACAGGAAGAGTTTGGATGGAAATTAGTTCATGGAGATGTTTTTAGACCTCCAAGAAAAGGGATGTTACTTTCAGTTTTATTGGGTAGTGGGGTACAAGTTTTTTGTATGAGTATGGTTACTTTGGCGTTCGCCTGTTTGGGTTTTTTGAGTCCTGCTAATCGAGGGGCACTTATGACTTGTGCTATGGTGTTGTTTGTTTTACTTGGAACACCAGCAGGATATGTTTCTGCTAGGATTTATAAGAGTTTTGGTGGGGAAAAATGGAAGTCAAATGTGCTTTTAACATCGATGCTTTGTCCAGGGTAAGTAAAAAAATGTTAATATTTCTTAAACAAACTTTTTTTATTGAAAATTTTAGAGTTGTGTTTGGATTATTTTTTATAATGAATTTAGTACTTTGGGGCGAAGATAGTTCTGCTGCGGTACCGTTCACCACACTCCTAGCTCTGTTAGGACTTTGGTTTGGTGTATCTGTACCCTTAACTTTTGTTGGAGCTTATTTTGGTTTTAGAAAAAGGGTAAATTAAAAATGTTAAAATGGTGTTGTTAAAAAATAATTTCATTTAATTTTAGGCGATTGAACATCCTGTAAGAACCAATCAAATACCAAGATTGATTCCAGAACAATCTGTTTACACTCAAGCTGTTCCTGGAATAATAATGGGAGGAGTGTTACCGTTTGGTTGTATTTTTATACAATTATTTTTCATTTTGAACTCGATTTGGTCATCACAAATGTACTACATGTTTGGATTTCTTTTCTTGGTGTTTATAATTTTAGCAATAACCTGTGCTGAAACAACAATACTTCTTTGTTATTTTCATCTTTGCGCGGAAGATTATCATTGGTGGTGGAGGTCCTATTTAACATCCGGATTTACAGCGGTTTACCTTTTCTTTTATTGCTGCCATTATTTCTTTACGAAACTCCAAATAGAAGGAGCCGCGTCAGGATTTCTATATTTCGGATACACTTTACTGATGGTGTTTCTGTTTAATTTATTAACAGGCACGATTGGTTTCTTCGCGTGTTTCTGGTTTATCCGGAAAATATACAGTGTGGTAAAGGTAGACTGAAAACATTTTTAATTGTTCTACTTTCGGCGTAACAATTTTTGTTATTAAAATTAATCATCGTAAGTGTATTATATCGATGTGTGACTTTAATCGGACACTTTATTATTATTTTTTTTTCGAAAATTATTTTTAAATAATGAATTGGAGAGCTCACTAAGTGCTAACATGTTTCAGTATTGCCTTTATACTTGTCACTATGTACTTTTTTTTTAGTTTTGAAAACGAGAAGATACAGTTGCATGTTATTATAATTATTTGTATTTAGGTTATAACTTGTACATTTGTGAATTTAATAAATGTGTTACTACACTAAAAATATATTGTTTCAGGCCTGAAGAAACCTTGGTGATAATATTAATGTTACACTGTTCCAGCACTTAACACAAATTTAAAAATTTTAAAATATCTTTTACTTTTACTATTTGGTTTAATATCTGCTAAGATTAGCTTGAATCTATTCAGTATTATACAGTGCGTTAATTAATTATCGTACCCGACGTCATCATTGCAAGTATGCAACCAATATCACAGTATTGGTATTGCAATACGCAAACCGCCTATTGTAAAATAAATACTGTGATATTGGTTGCATACTTGCAATGTATTTATTTTACAATAGGCGATTTGCGTATTGCCATACCAATACTGTGATTTTGGTTGCATACTTGCAATGATGACGTCGGGTAAGATAATTAATTAACACACTGTATTTAAAAAGTATTTCACAACAAGGAATTCTACTCAAAAGATATGAGTAAGATATGCGGTAATCATTTTTATTAAATGAGTGTACAATAATTTAGCCTTTTTGGAAATATTTGTAACATAATTATAGGAGTCCCATGGGGTGCCTTAAGGAGCAAGATATGGTATGCAAGTAGTTCTTATAATTTTCTTTATCCCTACATCTTCATAGCTGCAATGAGCCCATTTGTCATGAGAACAATAAGCAGCTCAGTCTACGTTTTATTCCAAATGGCGTATAGTACAAACACGTCTTCTCTTTCTTCTTTATTGATATCTTTTTTTTCTTATCACTTTTTGTTTTAGGGGTAGAGGTTAAAAACAGAGTACTTGGCAAGACTCCGTTTGGTCTTAATTTGCAAACCAATTACAATCGTTTCAAAGCGTATCATCGCGACGCCATCACTACAATATTCATGCTACGGCAATTAACAAAAATCCATAGAATTCAATAAGCCCCACTACCCCTGCTTCGTCGACTTTACTCAAGCATTCGATAGAATACAGCTTTGTGATGTATTAAGAATACTACAACAAAATAACATCGACAAACGAGTAACGTACTTAATAAAGGAAATGAATACGGAAACAAGAATTAAAATCCGCGATGGACTACCGGAAGAAATCCCCTTATCAACCGGCCCTGCGCGTTTTAATATCGTTATGGACCAAATTATAAATAGCGTCAAAAACACTAATATAAGTTACAAAATGGGAAATTGTATAATACAGATTATGAGCTAGAATGAAAATGACTGCAACGTCTGCTGTTTCTATGCTAATTTCTACCCAGAAAACACAGTCAGTGGTCATTTTCAACGCCCCATTATGATGCAACTTGGAGTTCGATGGAAAGTCGATCCAACAGGTTATGCAGTTTAAATATCGTGGAGTCGAGTTATCACACCACAAATAATGTGAAATCACGGGCAACCAAAGGTGCAGTAATCTGGTTGCCTACGGGGCATCATATGGCGGTAAAAATCAAAGTAAGAATCTATAAAAACAGCATCAACAACCAAACAAGTCATGAGAGCCATCACTGTGGCGTGAGATGTGCAACGTACAGTATGTAACCCGATAGACAAGATTGAGGAGAAGATATTGAAGGGTCATGTTGAAAGGATGGGTGAGGAAAGATTAGCAAAGAAAATCCAAACGCAAAAACTAGACACCAGGCGACTCCCAGGAATACCACAAAAACGCCTAGCATGAGAGTTGGACGTCGTCGTCGCAAAATAACAACCTACAGGAACGGAAGTCAGAAGAGGAAAGAGGCTTTGAAGTTTCTGATAACACATTAATTTAGTGATGCAAAATAGTATAAAAAGAAGATTAATACAGTAGATTGGCCAGCAGACCTGATAGAGACATGCTATAATAAAAGGAAAAGTGAGATATGTTGCGTGCAACCTTTTGAACATCAGAAACAGACTGACTTATGCAGCTATATATTAAGCATGGAAATTAAGGTTTATGTGCTAACAATGAAAAGCTGCACAAAATTGGATTATATATTAGCAGTCACAAATGAACCACATCTATTTATTAATAACAAGCAAGAGGTTGGGAAGGACCTGCTCTAAAAGTTTTTAAAAAGACTGCCAAAATTGTGTATCTGTTACCGGCAATCTCCGTTACACCGGCACACCTAAGATTGACTAGGAAGTTCGCACATTGCCCGAGCGTTTATGACCAAGTCCGAAATAACTTTTAATTTCGTGGTTTGCCTAGTATGCAAGTAGGCAACGTTAGGTGTGCCAAATGAGGCTCAGGCAAAGTCCGAAAAGTGTAAATTAACTTCGGACTTTGCATAAGTGGGTTAGGCAAATTAAGGGTGCGCACATTCAAAACATTGTTTACTGCTATCAGCGTTATCAACAAGCTGTCTATGTGTGCGCACTCTTTGGCTTCTTAACTACTAATAAAAATAACGGAATTGAAATTTTCCCAATACAACTCTATTTTTGTGTAAACCATTATTTGTTTGAACACGAGTTTGAATGGTGAAATTTCGAGTTGCAAAACACTTTAGCCCTCTTACATTTGCATAAATTTGTTTGACATTTCAATCTCTGGGACGTCTTGAATTTTCAAAAGTGTGTCTTTACACGTTTGAATTTGTTTTCTCGAATATAGCGAGGCAATAATTCCTTTCTTGGTTGCAATTTTATAGAGTTGTGGACTCCTGAAGTTTCTTTTTCGCATATGCAACAAACAGGTTCCAATTTTGCCATATCAACATCAACGACAGGAGTTGTTCCTTTAGTATTTTCTGCATCAGGAAACGGAGTTGATCCTCTAAGACTTTCTGCATTAGGATCACAAGTGAAATTCTACTGCTCCACAGTAGTTGTAAGTGCCTTTTCAAGATCTTCTTCAGATCTAAGAACTTTTTTGATAGAATCATGCAATGACTCTATTCCGATATGAGCGTTTCTTCCTTTAATGAAGTAGAAACTGCTATTGCTAGCTCGGGCCACACTTTCCTTAACTCTTCAACTACCCGATTAGCAAACTCTCGTCCGTTGTCCGACTGCAACACGCTGGGAGTTCCCAAAATACAAAAAACCATCCAATAATGTGTGAGCCACTTCCTCTGCTGTCTTCGTCTTCAATGGACGTAAAATTATAAACTTAGATGAGTCTGCATATCTATGAGATCGACCTGACCTCGGGAATTCACTTTTTTAAATAACAGGGGTTTAACTGTTAATCCTTTTTTAGATTGGTTCCTTTGTTCGTGGCATACTTGACAGAGCTCTAAATAGCAAGTTATTGTTTCAGAATTCGACACGGCCATTATTTTGTGATTCCCACACTGCTCATTACTACTCACTGTTTTAAGATTGCTAATGTTGCTTGCATGATACCATTAGATTTTATGATTATCACAATATGGCTTCGCAGCAATCCAGGAATAATTTTAATTCCAAGTAGTTGATTTTTTTTGCATTCGTGCAAATCAAAAGCTTCACAAAGTATTTTATTAAGCCATACAATATTTTCGACTAAATTTTGTGAGTGGCTTTATATCTTCTTTGACGATTGATATTCTTTAAATTAATAGATCGTAAAATAATGAAGAAATAATGAAGCAAATGCATCAGTAAGGTTTTCAGTAGATTTCAGTGCCACTTCCACTAAAGCAGAACCCTACCTGAAGATCTGATTAGTAAACCATACACGTTCAAAGTTGTAACGGAATTTATATACCTTGGAACCCAGCTAAATGAAAATAACATCATGACTGCAGAAATGAGGAGAGGACTATATATGACTAATAAAGCTTACTTTGGAATGGGAAAACTTGTTGGGCTGCTTTGAAAGAAAGATACTCCTCCACATATACAGGGATGTTGAGGTTTTCCTCAACAGGAATATGGAGAAGGCGTTACAATTTTGAGTTGTGCCGGCTCTATGAAGAACCGAATGTTGTACAATCCATCAAAATCACTGGGTTAAGGTGGCTCGGCCATTTAGAAAAGATCGACAAGTAGGAACCCTCAAAGCAAAATTTCTGCCAAACAGTTTTTGGAATCCGCAAGAGAGGCAGGCCTAGAAGCAGAGTCTAAAAATGCTGGGAGTTAGAAACTGATGATGGCCAAGGCACAAGATAGAGGAGAGTGAAAGCTGATCCTAGAACATGCCAAGACCCACCAAGGGTTGTGGTGCCAATGATGATGATGGCACGAGAGTACTAAGAACGCACTGATTATTTGTTGCAAATATAAGGTTGCTCAAAATAATCTCTTTAGTGAATCAAAGAGTGACACTGAAATAGTTAAAACAAAATTAAGTAGTATTATCTTGCAGCTATAAGGATTTATTTATTCTGTAAATATCTACATTCTTAGGTTTATCTAAAGTTTTAATTAATCTTAAAATACATTCAAAATTAATTACAAAATTTTGCTAAAATCATATCTTTTAAAACTTTTCGTTTTATTTTACCCGATGCGGTAAAAGAAATTTGATTATCTTCAACAAAGAACACACCGCCTCTAAGTTTTTTACGATCCTCAAGTTTTTGTGCTACTAAAACTTTTAAGTCCTCTTCTGTTACGTTATCGTTGTTTTTAACAACAATAGCCGCAGGTAGGTCACCGTCTTCAGAAGGAATTCCAATAACAACGGCGATTTTTACGGATGGATGTTGCAATAAAACGCTTTCTATTTCGCTTGGCGATATTGGATAAATTTGGTACCATAATAATTCTGAAACTCTTTCAATAAAAAAGAAACAATGATCATCATCGTAATACATAACATCCCCGGTTTTTAAAAAACCATCAGCGTCGAGATAGTTTTTGTTGAGTTCTTTATGATAGCCGTTCATCATCACATTACATTTAATTCTTAGTTCTCCTTTTTGATTGGGACCAAGGATTTCTTCAGTTTCCGGATTAACAATCTAAAAATGATTTGAACTTTAATAGTTTATTAATTTTTTGATTTAATTTACTTTATAAGTTAACCCTTTAACTGGTTTTCCAGCCATTGCAGGTTTGCTTAAGTATGTTTTTATTCCTTCCATGGAGGTTTCCGGAACTAAACCAAATCCGCACAATTCACTTTGAGTGTAAGCGCTAACAATAAAAACATTTGGGAATAATTGGCGTGCTTTTAAGATGTATTCGGGTGGAACAGCACCACCAGCATATGCAAGCACTTTTAAGTGTTTTAATTCAACATCATTTGGTTTTTGGCTTTTAATAAATGAAATAAAATTATATGGTGCAAGGAAACAATAAGTGACGTTGTATTTTTGCAAATAAATCCACGTGTTTTTACTGTCGAAATGAGAACTCAACAACATAGTACGTCCTAAGATTGCGGATAAACATGTTAAAAAAACTCCAGAAAATGCAACAAGTAAAACATAAGATAAAGTTGTGATGTTTTCTGTTGTTTTATTACTTTGAGTAATGTTTAAATAAGTTAAAAATCCAAAATGATTTAGGCAGATACCTTTAGGTGCACCAGTTGTTCCACTACTAAAGATTATAAAAGCAGTTTCAAATAAATCGTTGGTTAGATAAGGTGTAAAATTTAATTCTTCGTTTGGATGTGGTACCAAAAATTTTTTTTCGAAGGATATAAATTTTTCTGAATTTCCTAATAACACGATGGTTGTTTTTAAATTTAATTTTGTAACAATTTCTTCGAGAACATCAACATTTTGAGGTTCCGCAAAAACGAATTTCGGCTCTACCAATTGAAGTTGCTTCAAAATTTGGTCGTAAGGTGCAAAAGCATCCAACCAAGCCGGTTTAGCACCCGTAAATAAAATGCCAAATAATAAAACGGAATTGTTTAAATGATTTGTTGTACATGGTGCTATAATATCATTTGGTGTTACACCTCTTTTTTTAAGATTAATTGCCAATCTGATTGATCTCTCAAGAACTTTCGAGTAAGTTTCACTTTTACCGGAATCTGCTTCAATCTGGGTGTATAAAAAGAATAAAATTGCGTTTAAAAAAGTGCAAATTCTTTACCTGTCCAATGACGTCTTTATTCTTTTTTAAACCGTGAAATATTTCGTGGGCAAGTCCATTTGGATTAATTTCAACATCGAGGTTTTTAGTTCTGATGATGTTATCACCTTCATCTGGTAACTCAACTATAAAAAAGAATTATTTAGTTATTTTTATACAAAAATACTAAAAATTACTTACTACTTGAAGAATAACGCGACATTTTCAATCGTAGATACCCAATTATTGGTAATTTCCTAATTATAGGGTATCTCCGATTAGAGCTATTTAAACAAATTGATAATAAGATTATCAGGTTTATCATTCTTCCTCAGGGTTATCCTCTAATTTTCGATTGTTATTTTAAAAATTATTATTATATACAGGCTGGTTTAGATTTTAATCGTAACTTTAATCGTAATCACCACCCCCTTGACTTTTTTTATAAGAACTTTTTAACGCTATAAGAATATTAACATAAAAAAATAAGGGTTAAGGTATGGTTAAAAATAAGGTATTAACCAGTAGTACATACATACAAAATTTCAAATTCTACGGTTTACTTATATCTGAAATAAAAGATAAAATATAAATTTTTGTCTCAACTTTTACAGCTCATAGCTCGACAACAAAATAGTTGCGACCCTATGTTTATATAAAAAACTTGTATTATTTTGGCAAGTACTACGTCCTAATAAAGTTTCCCGATTAAAAACTGAACCATCCTGTATTATACAACAAGATGATCGAAAATACTCGATAATACAAGACGTATTGGCTGAAATATCACGAGACCGAAGGTCGAATGGTGTTTTTAAGGCAATACGTCGAGATTCGAGTATTTTCGATTGCCGTGTTTTTAAAATTTTAATTTTGTTAGTTGTTTATACTAATAAATTACACTGATTGTTATAGAAACTTTCATGGATATCTTAAAATTATTTAAATGGTTTACGAGCGTATTATCGTTCTCCATGGTTACAGCCAAATAACCGCTGAAATACTCGCAATTGCTGAAAACCGCGAATTCTTATTGGTTGTTAACGTAATGAATGAAGTAGTAAAATAAACATTCGAGTTTAGCCGTACGTCTCTTAAGACGGCTGAACCCGAAAGTAGGTATCTAGTTCTGGGCCTGGCGTTAGTTCTAATGCAAGTGTTAGTTCTAGTATTAGTGATTATTCATCGTTAGATTATTGTATATTTTTATTGAACTGAAAGTAGAGCTAGCACTAGACCAAGAACTAGAAAGTTTCTGGTTTAGCCGTGCGTCTTCAGACCACCGTTGCCAACCCCAACGATTTATTGGTAGATATACCGATATAGAAGATAGTCTACCGGTATACAACTTAATCTACCGATTTTCAAAACTTTGTACTTAAAATCAATAGAATTGCGACAGAAATCATACCTTATGGGAATATCCTATTTATGAATCCTATTTCATCCTATTTATGAAAGCAATAGCGCAAGGGAGAAATGTTTTTAAGAATAAAATTTGCTACAACTTTTGTTTGAAAAGTGTTTTTATAACATGCTCCAATTCCAGACTGTTACCTTTAATAATTTGAAAAAGCAACAAATTTTCATATTTTCTTATTTTTCTCGATGTCAATGTATCTGAGAGCAAAAGTGTAAGAGAGGAATATTGTTAAGAACAAAGTTTTCTGCAACTTTTGTCATAAAAGTTTTTTTGTAATATGCTCAGATTACTCAGGGTTACCATCAACAACTTGCAAAAAGCAACAAATTCATAAAATTTTCATATTTTTTTCGATATCTATGAATCTGAGAGCAAAAGTGTAAGAGAGGAATGTTGCTAACAATAAAATTTGCTATAACTTTTGTTCTAAAAGTGTTTTTTTGTAATATGATAGAATTCCTGAGTGGTTGTCATTAATAACTTGAAAAAGCACAAAATCATCAAATTATCATATATTCATATTTTTTTCGATATCTATGCATCTGAGAGCAAATGTGCAAGAGAGGAATGTTGCTAGCAATAAAATTTGCTACAACTTTTGTTCTAAAAGTGTTTTTATAACATGCTCCGATTCCAGATTGTTACCTTTAATAATTTGAAAAAGCAACAAATTCATCAAATTTTCATATTTTCTTATTTTTCTCGATGTCTATGTATCTGAGAGCAAAAGTGTAAGAGAGGAATATTGTTAAGAATAACATTTTCTACAACTTTTGTTATAAAAGTTTTTTTGTAATATGCTCAGATTACCCAGGGCTGCTATCAATCACTTGCAAAAAACAACAAATTCATACAATTTTCATATTTTTTTCGATATCTATACATCTGATTGTGAGAGCAAAAGTGCAAGAGAGAGAGGAATGTTGCTAACAATAAAATTTGCTACAACTTTTGTTCTAAAAGTGTTTTTATAACATGCTCCGATTCCAGACTGTTACCTTTAATAATTTGAAAAAGCAACAAATTCATCAAATTTTCATATTTTCTTATTTTTCTCGATGTCTATGTATCTGAGAGCAAAAGTGTAAGAGAGGAATATTGTTAAGAATAACATTTTCTACAACTTTTGTTATAAAAGTTTTTTTGTAATATGCTCAGATTACCCAGGGCTACCATCAATCACTTGCAAAAAACAACAAATTCATACAATTTTCATATTTTTTTCGATATTTATGCATCTGAGAGCAAAAGTGCAAGAGAGGAATGTTGCTAACAATAAAATTTGCTATCACTTTTGTTCTAAAAGTGTTTTTATAACATGCTCCGATTCCAGACTGTTACCTTTAATAATTTGAAAACGCAACAAATTCATCAAATTTTCATATTTTCTTATTTTTCTCGATGTCTATGTATCTGAGAGCAAAAGTGTAAGAGAGGAATATTGTTAAGAATAACACTTTCTACAACTTTTGTTATAAAAGTTTTTTTGTAATATACTCAGATTACCCAGCGTTTCCATCAATCACTTGCAAAAAACAACAAATTCATACAATTTTCATATTTTTTTCGATATCTATGCATCTGAGAGCAAAAGTTCAAGAGAGGAATGTTGCTAACAATAAAATTTGCTACAACTTTTATTCTAAAAGTGTTTTTATAACATGCTCTGATTCCAGACTGTTACCTTTAATAGTTTGAAAAAGCAACAAATTCATCAAATTTTCATATTTTTCTCGATGTCTATGTATCTGAGAGCAAAAGTGTAAGAGAGGAATATTGTTAAAAATAACATTTTCTACAACTTTTGTTATAAAATTTTTTTTGTAATGTGCTCAGATTACCCAGGGTTACCATCAATAACTTGCAAAAAACGACAAATTCATAAAATTTTCATATTTTTTTCGATATCTATGCATCTGAGAGCAAAAGTGCAAGAGAGGAATGTTGCTAACAATAAAATTTGCTACAACTTTTGTTCGAAAAGTGTTTTTATAACATGCTCCAATTCCAGACTGTTACCTTTAATAATTTGAAAAAGCAACAAATTCATCAAATTTTCATATTTTCTTATTTTTCTCGATGTCTATGGATCTGAGAGCAAAAGTGTAAGAGAGGAACATTGTTAAGAATAAAATTTTCTACAACTTTTGTTATAAAAGTTTTTTTGTAATATGCTCAGATTACCCAGGGTTTCCATCAATCACTTGCAAAAAACAACAAATTCATACAATTTTCATATTTTTTTCGATATCTATGCATCTGAGAGCAAAAGTGCAAGAGAGGAATGTAGCTAACAATAAAATTTGCTACAACTTTTATTCTAAAAGTGTTTTTATAACATGCTCTGATTCCAGACTGTTACCTTTAATAATTTGAAAAAGCAAAAAATTCATCAAATTTTCATATTTTCTTATTTTTCTCGATGTCTATGTATCTGAGAGCAAAAGTGCAAGAGAGGAATGTTGCTAACAATAAAATTTGCTACAACTTTTGTTCTAAAAGTGTTTTTATAACATGCTCCGATTCCAGACTGTTACCTTTAATAATTTGAAAAAGCAACAAATTCATCAAATTTTCATATTTTCTTATTTTTCTCGATGTCAATGTATCTGAGAGCAAAAGTGTAAGAGAGGAATATTGTTAAGAACAAAGTTTTCTGCAACTTTTGTCATAAAAGTTTTTTTGTAATATGCTCAGATTACTCAGGGTTACCATCAACAACTTGCAAAAAGCAACAAATTCATAAAATTTTCATATTTTTTTCGATATCTATGAATCTGAGAGCAAAAGTGTAAGAGAGGAATGTTGCTAACAATAAAATTTGCTATAACTTTTGTTCTAAAAGTGTTTTTTTGTAATATGATAGAATTCCTGAGTGGTTGTCATTAATAACTTGAAAAAGCACAAAATCATCAAATTATCATATATTCATATTTTTTTCGATATCTATGCATCTGAGAGCAAATGTGCAAGAGAGGAATGTTGCTAGCAATAAAATTTGCTACAACTTTTGTTCTAAAAGTGTTTTTATAACATGCTCCGATTCCAGATTGTTACCTTTAATAATTTGAAAAAGCAACAAATTCATCAAATTTTCATATTTTCTTATTTTTCTCGATGTCTATGTATCTGAGAGCAAAAGTGCAAGAGAGGAATGTTGCTAACAATAAAATTTGCTACAACTTTTGTTCTAAAAGTGTTTTTATAACATGCTCCGATTCCAGACTGTTACCTTTAATAATTTGAAAAAGCAACAAATTCATCAAATTTTCATATTTTCTTATTTTTCTCGATGTCTATGTATCTGAGAGCAAAAGTGTAAGAGAGGAACATTGTTAAGAATAACATTTTCTACAACTATTGTTATAAAAGTTTTTTTGTAATATGCTCAGATTACCTAGGGTTACCATCAATAACTTGCAAAAAACAACAAATTCATAAAATTTTCATATTTTTTTCGATATTTATGCATCTGAGAGCAAAAGTGCAAGAGAGGAATGTTGCTAACAATAAAATTTGCTACAACTTTTATTCTAAAAGTGTTTTTATAACATGCTCCGATTCCAGACTGTTACCTTTAATAATTTGAAAAAGCAACAAATTCATCAAATTTTCATATTTTCTTAGTTTTCTCGATATCTATGTATCTGAGAGCAAAAGTGTAAGAGAGGAATATTGTTAAGAATAACATTTTCTACAACTTTTGTTATAAAAGTTTTTTTGTAATATGCTCAGATTACCCAGGGCTACCATCAATCACTTGCAAAAAACAACAAATTCATACAATTTTCATATTTTTTTCGATATTTATGCATCTGAGAGCAAAAGTGCAAGAGAGGAATGTTGCTAACAATAAAATTTGCTACAACTTTTGTTCTAAAAGTGTATTTTTGTAATATGCTCAGATTCCCGAGTGGTTGCCATTAATAACTTGAAAAAGCACAAAATTATCATATTTTCGTATTTTTCTGGATGTCTATGCATCTGACAGCAAAAGTGCAAGGGAGAAATATTGTTAAGAATAAAATAAAATAAACTTTATTGTAACTAGATCTAACACTAGCATTAGAACTAATAGTAGATCTAGAACTAGATTTTTAAGTGCAAGTTAAAAATTTTTCATGTAAGGGACTTATCACGAATACTCACTTATTCCCCATTATATCGAGATTTTACTATATTTTTATTAATTTATTAATTATAAAATTTAAATAACATAAAATTATCTTAAAATTAATTTTGGATTTTTTCTAAAATATATCGTTTCAAGCTCCTTCGTTTAATTTTTCCAGACGGTGTAAAAGGAATTTCACTTTCATCAACAAAATAAATCCCACCCCTAATTCTTTTGCGTTCGTCAACATTACGCGCTACTAAGTCTTCAAGTTCTTTGTCAGTAACATTTTTGTCTTTTCTAACAACAACCCCGATCGTTATATCACCTTCATCAGTGGGTTTTCCAATAACCACCGCTAATTTAACCGAAGGATGTTGAATTAAGATGTGTTCGATTTCCGTTGGAGCAATCGCTGTCATTTTATATCGCAACATTTCTTTGCTCCGTTCAACGAAAAAGAACCATTTTTCTTCGTCGTAATATAAAATATCCCCTGTTTTTAAGAATCCATCTTCGTCGAATCTTTCTGAGGAATCTTGTTTGTAATATCCAATCATATTCATATCGGAGAGTACGCAGAGTTCTCCAGGTTGATTTGGACCTAAAATTTTTCCAGTATCTGGGTCAACAATCTAAAAATTAAAAATAAAATAATTCGTAACAAAAAGATTGTTGTTTTTTACTTTATATGTTGATCCTCTTGTTGGTTTACCACAAGTAGTCGGTCTACTTAAAAGGGCAGTTCTAGCTGATGGACTAAAATCGGGTACTAGTGCACAATTAAAAAGTTCTGTTTGACCGAAACCAGTAAAAATTGTTACATCCGGGAACATTTCTTGCAAGGTGTGATAACTTGGTATTGAAATTGGTCCTCCAGCTAGGCACAACATTTTTAAATGGGGTAATTTCAAATCCTTCGGTTTTCCATTTTTAATTAACGCGATTAAATCTTGAGGAGCAGCAAAGAAAACGGATACTTTATATTTTTCCAAATGACGCCAAGCTTTTTCCGGGGTGAAACCAGAAGCTTGGACTTTTATTCCACCCACCAGTGCAGTTGTAACAGTTATTACAATTGCAGAAGCCCAAACGAAAGAAGCGTATGATAAAAAAATTTGGGGGTCATTATTTGGTAGTAGTCTAAAAAGGTGGTTTATAACATTTATAATTTTAATAAAATTATATACTTACGCATTTCCAAAATTCCCCATAACAGAATAATGACTTATACAAATTCCTTTTGGACTTCCCGTAGTTCCACTGCTGAAAACGATTAAAGCAGGTTCATGAACATCATTAACTATGTACGGTGTAAAATTATTTTCTTCTTCAGGCAAAGGAACTAATAAATCTTCAAAAGGAATATGTATATCAGTTTTACCAAAAACAATGATTTTAGTATTTAGTCCTAAAGAATCAATCATATTTTCCAAAGCTTTTATAGTTTCTGGTATGGCAAAAATAAGTTTTGGTTCAACCAGTTCTAGTTGTCTTATTCTGTCTTCATCTGGAGCAAATGGGTCCATTCCAGCAGGTTTAGCACCGGTAAATAAAATCGCGTGGAAAATCGCTGCTGCATTTAAATGATTCGTAGTGCATGGAGTGATGATATCATTTGGGGTAACTCCTAATCGTTTTAAATGACAAGCTATTCTTATCGCTTTTTGTAAAGTTACCCCAAAAGTTTCTTCTTCGCCAGTATTTGCATCAATTTGTCCTATTTCGTGTTTTTTGTTGCTTAAAGAAACAAAAATGGAGTGAGCAACTCCTTTTGGATCATAATTAGCATCCGATTTTTTAGTTCTAATGATATTATCTCCTTGATCAGGTAAAATAATGTCTTCTAAAAAGTTTTAAATTATATTAAATTACTCTTTTTAAAATCAATAATAATATACCTTCACAACCCATTTTTGAAATGATGTATTTTCGTTGTTAGACGATGGAATGTAAATTGAAACTGAATATCTTTTCAAAATTTGCTTCTTATATAGTGTGTATAAGAGAATGTGTATAATTAAAACAATGATGATAAGCGAGTGGTCTACGTAACTGCAAATCACTATGTATTTACATTTTATATTTTTAATCGTTATCTTTTACGATGTCCAGCTTCGCAGTTACGCGCTGACGATGTTGTTTCTGAGCAATGATAGCCTCGTGGCAACAAATATCCTATAATGCATAACATTAAAAGCAACGCAATCGTGAGTCGGTATTTTTTGAGTAATTTCATAATATTACTAAGCATATTCGTGTTTGTCATAAATTAGGCAGAATTACACATTAAAAATGTTTTACCTTCTACATTATTACACTAATTTCATGTGATTATTTTATTAACTGTAGTATCCTACAATGAACTTTTCCTCATCCTCCAAATCAATTGATCAATGAACATTTGTAGATCGTTCATTAATGTATGATGCAATATTGTGAATGAAGTAATTTAATTGAAAATTTTATATCTGAATATTTATTATGATTATAAAGGTACATGCTTTATTAGTTCCTAATCCGGGACATCCTTATCCCGGATATCGTAAAACACAAATATTAATATCTCTCATCCCAACGTCATCTATGGCATTCCCTACATTATCTCTAATATCTGTGGGACAATGTCCTGGCTTCTTTCTATATCTTTCTCCTTATCTATTAATAATATTTTGGTTTTCATCGACGTAGTCTACGACATCCCACAATATTGTTCTTTATATCTCTCAACACTGTCTTGGATAACCCAACATTTTCCTCATTATTTATTAATATCGTCTTTATGGTGGTGCTGCGAGAATGCCACGTCAGCATTTCTTATAACGAAGCACCACATCAACTCAATTGCAGTCCGTAGAATCTTGATCAGGAGGCAAAAAATTCTGCTGCGTGAAATTATACAAAAGGTTTTTTTCAAATAAACTAGTAAGTAAAAAACTATGTCGAGTACAACTCAAGATTTCGAGTATCACATTCTAGCAAACTATGAAGAAGGCAGAATTAGAGTACAAATGATCAGAATGAAAAACACAAATCAAGAAAACGATGATACTAGCCAATATATTAAATTTCGCTAAATTTGTGATTTTCCCTGAATCCATAGGACATATAGAGATGCCCTGGAGAGTTTACGCCGAAAATTCATATCGAAGGGTTTCTTGAGATACATCACAGAACTGGTAGGGCTTTGCTTGCTTCGACTTATTAATATTGGAAAGAAGAGTTTTACGAGAAACATGAGGAAGCAGCATTTGGTCGTTGTTATCACCAATCATTGCTAACTTCTAGGTGAAACTGTTCGAAAAAGTGATTTTATAAACTAATTCTTGGAAAACAAAGATATGGCTATGATACCTATATCACGCATTCAATAATTATTTGCAATTTAAGTTCCAACTTTTATGGCAATTCAATAACCTTTTAGGAACCAACCAAATTCATACTTCCTCTTACTACCTTTATAGTAGTGGTAAAACGGATATCCGGCAACTATCCAGTATCCGGCCATTTTTTAAAACTCGGCCGGATACCGGATAGTTATCAAATATCCGGATATCCAGAAATTTGGCCGGATATTAAAAACCTATTACTTAGTAATCCACCATTAACAGGAATTAGTAACAATTAGAAAACAATATTTAAAGTTTTGATAAAATTTTCATCGATAACTTTCAAAATTCGTTATAAAATTAATTTATTGAAGGATATTTGTGGGAATATCACCAATTATTAATTATAGTATCCTCTTTTTTATGCAAAAAGCCGTTTTGAAAAATCACTTTTAGTTCTTGAGCAATAAATTTTTGAACTAATCGACAATTTTATGGAATTTTACAATTTTCGCCGATTAAGTTTTAAAAATTCGTATAAAATCCATTTCTTGGAATATGAGTATGAAAATTTCCCAAAGTGTTAATAAGAGTGTCCTCTTTCCAATGAACCAACCCGTTTTGAAAAATAACTTTTAGTTTTTGAGAAAACAATATTTGAAGTTTTGATAAAATTTTCGATGTTGCAATTTTCATCGATAACTTTCAAAATTCGTTATAAAATTAATTTGTTGAAGGATCTATTACGGTTTATTTTCTTAGTTTTATTTATTATCGTTATATTATAACTGATGAGGTATTTTTTTTTAATTTTATTGTTTTATTTTTTTCGCGATTTCCCTCGATGATTATTTTTTAGAGTTGATCGACATTCAACATGTGTTTACGGGATTTATATTTTTCGGCGAGATAACGGGTTTTTTTTTTGATCATTCAACTTGTGGGAGGAAGGAAGTTTTAGTCGTTTTAGTCTCTGACTGAAAAGCAGCCTGGACGTTCCTAGAAGTAAAATTGGAAGAGATTTCCATTTGGCGTCTTTAAACAAATTGGATAATTGGTGCACGGATAGTTTAATTAGGAACGAATCCATAGAGATTGAAGAATAGTATCTATTTTTTTTTCGTTAATTCGGATTGCTCCTTTGTTTTTGTTTTATTTGAACACCCCGTTGTCTCGGGTAAGCACATTATTATTTTTGTAATTATAGTCGTGTGAATTGTCAATTTAATCGTGATTGGAAACCATCGAGGGGAATAAATCGACTTCAAGTTTGGAAAAGATCCTGTTATTGAGGAATCAAGTCACGCCGTTTCTAAACGTGAAAGGATCGCCATTTTGGAGTCGTAATTATAGAAATTTATCTTATTTTATATTCGTTTCGCATCTCGTTAGTTGTAAGGTTAGATTAGATTTAAGGAATAATTATTTCGGCTTAAATTGCCACCAACCTCGGCCAATAATTACTAATAAAAGAAGTTTGTTGTTTTACAAATTGATTTTTCTTGAAGTAACAAAAATTAGCCGTGGCAGATCTTTGTGGAAACATCGCCGATTATTAATTAAAGTATCCTCTTTTTAGAGTTGCTTCGTTTGTTAAATCAGCATCAAAAAAGTTAATCTTGTCAGCTTTCTTATTAATTTTTATTCAAATATCGCAATAATGTTTCAATGTAGGGTATTTTCAGAAATGTGCCAGAAATTATAACCATAATGGCCGGATAGATATGGCTTTTCGCAAAATCACTATCCGTTCCATCACTACTTTATAGTAATGGTATTTCGGAGAGATTTCACAGAATTCTCAAAACAGCCATTATTGCTCGTGGTGCTGGTAATTTATGCAATAACAATCTTTTCAATACTCTTTTAAGACTTCGGTGCTCTCTAAAAGAAGATTTTAGTTCCTTTTCTGCACAACTATTGCATGGCCAGCCGCTTAATCTGCTCGGAGATTTTTTTGTGGATTCAAATTCCTCGGCAGAAATTACATTCATCATGTAGGAAAAAAAGGATAACCAGTTAATATTGCTTGATATATCAGGACGAACAATGGGCAACTCAAATACAGAGAGTACTGAAAGAAGATACATAGGAATAGAATGCCAGGAAATTAATAAACGGGGAAAATTTGAAGAATTTAGTGAGAATATGTTTTTATTTAATTTAATTTTAAGATTTTTTTATTGCCCTTCAATTTTCTTTAAAATATATTGTTTCAAAAGTCTCCTACTAACTTTACCAGTTGGTGTCATAGGAATTTCATTTTCATCGATAAATAAAACACCCCCTCTCAACTTCTTTCGTTCATCGACTTTCGCAGCAACCAAAGCTTCAAGTTCTTCAGCAGTAACGTTATCAATTTTTTTAACAATAACCGCTGTTGCCAGATCGCCTTCATCGGTAGGTTTTCCAATAACAGCAGCTAATTTAACCGAGGGATGTTGTATCAGAATACCTTCAAGTTCTGATGGTGCAATTGCAATCATTTTGTATCTTAACATTTCTTTGTGACGTTCAACGAAATAGAACCATTTGTCTTCGTCGTAATAAANAGTTTTTGAGAAAACAATATTTGAAGTTTTGATAAAATTTTCGATGTTGCAATTTTCATCGATAACTTTCAAAATTCGTTGTAAAATTGATTTCTTGAAGGATCCTTGTGAAAATATCACCAATTATTAATTAAAGTATCCTCTTTTTAATGCAAAAAGCCGTTTTGAAAAATCACTTTTAGGTCTTGAGAAATAAATTTTTGAAGTAATCGACAATTTTATGGAATTTTACAATTTTCGCCGATTAAGTTTTAAAAATTCGTATAAAATCCATTTCTTGGAATATGAGTATGAAAATTTCTCAAAGTGTTAATAAGAGTGTCCTCTTTCCTATGAACCAACCCGTCTCGAAAAATAACTTTTAGTTTTTGAGAAATCACGATTTGAAGTTTTGATAAAATTTTCTAGTTTTTTAATTTTCATCGATAACTTTCAAAATTCGTTATAAAATTAATTTGTTGAAGGCTCTATTACGGTTTATTTTCCTAGTTTTCTTTATTATCGTTATATTATAACCGATAAGGTATTTTTTTTAAATTTTATTGTTTTATTTTTTTCGCGATTTCCCTCGATGATTATTTTTAAGAGTTGATCGACATTCAACATGTGTTTACGGGATTTATATTTTTCGGCGAGATAACGGGTTTTTTTTTTTGATCGTTCGACTTGTGGGAGGAAGGAAGTTTTAGTGGTTTTAGTCTCTGACTGAAAAGCAGCCTGGACGTTCTTAGAAGTAAAATTGGAAGAGATTTCCATTTGGCGTCTTTAAACAAATTGGATAATTGGTGCACGGATAGTTTAATTAGGAACGAATCCATAGAGATTGAAGAATAGTATCTATTTTTTTTTCGTTAATTCGGATTGCTCCTTTGTTTTTGTTTTATTTGAACACCCCGTTGTCTCGGGTAAGCACATTATTATTTTTGTAATTATAGTCGTGTGAATTGTCAATTTAATCGTGATTGCAAACCATCGAGGGGAATAAGTCGACTTCAAGTTTGGAAAATATCCTGTTATTGGGGAATCAAGTCACGCCGTTTCTAAACGTGAAAGGATCGCCATTTTGGAGTCGTAATTATAGAAATTTATCTTATTTTATATTCGTTTCGCATCTCATCAAACCTCGGTCAATAATTACTAATAAAAGATGTTTATTGTTTTACAAATTGATTTTTCTTGAAGTATCAAAAATTAGCCGTGGCGGATCCTTGTGGAAATATCATGGCCAGTCGCTTAAACTGCCCGGAGATTTTTTTGTGAATTCACATTCCTCTGCAGAAATTGCATTCATCATGTAGGAAGAAAAGGACAACCAGTTGATATTGCTTGATATAGCATGACCAACAATGGGCAACTCAAATACAGAGAGTACTGAAAGAAGATACATAGGAATAGAATGCCAGGAAATTAATAAACTGGGAAAATTTGAAGAATTTAGTGAGAATATGTTTTTATTTAATTTAATTTTAAGAATTTTTTATTGCCCTTCAATTTTCTTTAAAATATATTGTTTCAAAAGTCTCCTACTAACTTTACCAGTTGGTGTCATAGGAATTTCATTTTCATCGACAAATAAAACACCCCCTCTCAACTTCTTTCGTTCATCAACTTTCCCAGCAACCAAAGCTTCAAGTTCTTCAGCAGTAACGTTATCAATTTTTTTAACAATAACCGCTGTTGCCAGATCGCCTTCATCGGTAGGTTTTCCAATAACAGCAGCTAATTTAACCGAGGGATGTTGTATCAGAATACCTTCAAGTTCTGATGGTGCAATTGCAATCATTTTGTATCTTAACATTTCTTTGTGACGTTCAACGAAATAGAACCATTTGTCTTCGTCGTAATAAAGGATATCACCCGTTTTTAAAAAGCCATCGTCGTCGTAGCGGTCGAATTTATCTTCGCCATAATAACCAGGTGTATTCGTTTTTGATTTTACGTATAATTCGCCAGGTTGATTTGGGCCTAAAGGTTTTCCAGTATCTAAATCAACAACCTAAAATACATGTTAATGAAAATAAAAAATAAATGATTTAGATGATTTAACCTTATAAGTTGATCCTTTAGCTGGTCTCCCACAACTACCTGGTTTCCTTGCAAAAATTTCTAAACCCTTTGGTGATAAATCGAGTTGAAGACTTGCATTCCAAAGTTCAGTTTGACCGTATGTTATGTATATTATGCACATGGGAAACATTTTTCGTAGCTTTTCAATAGTTTCTATTGATAACCCTCCACCGACTGGGAAGAAGAATTTTAAATGTGGCAATTCCAAATCTTTTGGTACTCCGTGTTTAATTAACGATATTACGTCTTGTGGTGCCAAAAAAAGAAATGTTACCTAAATAAAAAAGATTTTTAATTTACAATTATGATAAATAAAAATTTACTTTATATTTTTCCAAATATCTAAGTGTTTTTTCGGGCTCAAATCCACTGGCTTGAATTTTAATACCCCCCAAGCAAGACGATGAAAGTGTTTGAAAGATCTGGGAAGCCCAAACAAATGAGCTGTATGATAAATAAGTTTGTCGAGGCCAATTCATCCTTAAAAACGGAGAAAAAATTGTTATTGATTGTTTGTTAAGAAAAGAAATCGTTACCCTTTTCCAAAGATACACATAGCTGAGTAATGGGTAACGCGTGTTGCTTTTGGTAATCCTGTTGTGCCACTGCTAAAAACGATTAAAGCGGTTTCTTGAACATCATTAGTTTCGTATGGCAAAAATGATTTTTCTTCTTCCGGTAAAGGGATTAAAAACTCATCAAATGAAGTGTGTTTATCAGTTTTTCCAAATACAACAATTTTAGTGTTAAGACCAATAGATTTTATAATTTTTTCAAGCGGTTCAATACTTTCTGGTATGGTAAAGATTAATTTTGGTTTAACAAGTTGTAATTGTTTTGTACGATCAGCATCTGGCGCAAACGGATCCATTCCCGCAGATTTTGCACCAGAAAATAATATAGCATGAAATACAGCACTTGAATTTAGGTGGTTTGTGGTACAAGGTACGATAATATCATTATGGGTTATACCCATCCTTTTCAAATGGCAAGCAATTCTTATTGATTTTTTTAAAAGATCATCGTAACTTTCTTCTTTTCCAGTGTCGGCTTCGATTAAAGCAAGTTTCCCTTTGTGGCTTTTTAAAGCTACAAAAAGTTCATGTCCAATTCCTTTAGGATCTACTTGAAAATTGTCATCTTTAGTTCTGATTATGTTATCTCCTTGGTCAGGTAATACTATTTCATCTAAAATTAATTGATTATTAGTAAAAAAGGATAATATATATAAATAAGTAAAAAATAAAAACCTGTGGTAAGCATTTTTACTGCTTTAGATAAGTAACAGTATCACGAGCAGTTTGTATAGTACTATATATAAATGGAAAAAGAATGCTAAATCATTGCTGATTATATGTTATGAAATTATATAAACGTCTGTTATCATTCGGCCGTTATTTGATTTCAAAAAACAGTTATGATAGAGATTACAGTTATAATTGTTTGAAGGATTAAAGGTTACATAATATGTTCTTTACATTTTGCGATTAACAAAAAATTTAAAACAAATTGTCGCTTTTATTGATATATTATAATAAAAATAATTAAAAAAAAGAATAAATTACTAAATAACAATCTTATTTAGTTAGCAATGATTATACATCTTTACAAACAACCACATTTTAGTGTAATAATTAATTTTTAATTTTTTTCCATTATATATTGACGAAGAAGTCTTCTTTTAATTTTTCCAGATGGTGTAAAAGGGATTTCTTCTTTACTAATAAATTTAACACCACCTCTTAATCGTTTTCTGTCATCAACTTGACTTGCCACTAATTGTTCTAGTTCTTCAGCGGTAACATTATCGTTAGATTTTACTACAACAGCAGTGATGATGTCGCCTTCATCGCTGGGAAGTCCTAAAACTACAGCTACTTCAACCGAGGGATGTTGAACGATAATTGCTTCGAGTTCCGTTGGTGCAACTGCGCACATTTTATACCTTAACATTTCTTTTTGCCGTTCAACGAAGAAAAACGTGTAATCTTCATCATAGTACATTATATCACCGGTTTTTAGGAAACCTTCAGAATCAAATCTATCGCGGCTACCGGTTTTGTAATAACCATTCATAATCATTTTTGTTTTTATGCGTAATTCTCCAGGTTTATTTGGTCCAAGAACTTCCTCTGTTTCAGGATCAACGACTTTATAAATACCCCCTTTCATTGGTTTTCCTGTTGACGTTGGTTTTCTTGTTAATTCACCAAATCCTTCGGGAGTATATAAAGGAATGAGTCCGAATCCCCATAATTCCGTTTGACTATAAGCTTGGAAAACGAGGGTAGTTGGAAACAAAATTTTCGCCTTGGTTAATGTTTCTAACGAAACTGCCCCACCTGCTGGTGCGATCATTTTCAATGATGGCAATTCCAATCCGGATGGTTTATCTGATCTAACTAAAGCTAAGAAATCTTGAGGCGCAAAAAACGTTACGGACACTTTGTACTTTTCAAGATATGTCCAAGTTTTTTCTACTTCAAAGTTGGAACATAACAGTTTTGTTTGTGGAATTACGGGGCTCATAACTGATAACATAATTCCTGAAGTCCAAACCAAAGAGGCATACGACATTGTTACTGGTAATTCTTCGTCAGGCTTTTGCAACGGTCTCCTGTAAATAATTATTCAATGTTAATTTTAATGGATAAAATTAGTATCTTAAAAGTTGAATTAAAAGTATCTTAATTTATATTCCAAATATTAGTGATAAACGGATAGTGATTTTGCCAAACCGGATATCCGGTATTTCTGGTGCATTTCTGAAGTGATAATAAAAATGTAATTAATAAGAAAGCTGATATGATATGTCAACTAACGAAGCAACTCTAAAAAGAGGATACTTTAATTAATAATTGGCGATAGTACCACAAGGATCCTTCAAAAAATGAATTTTATAGCGAATTTTGAAAATTTTCGATGAAAATTGCAAAATCGAAATTTTATCAAAACTACAAATATTGTTTTCTCAAAAACTAAACGTTATTTTTCAAAACGTGTTTGTTCATTGGAAAGAGGACACTTTTATTAGCACTTTGAGAAATTTTCATACTCATATTCCAAGAAATGGATTTTATACGAATTTTTAAAACTTAATCGGCGAAAATTGCAAAATTTGAAAAAATTATCGATTATTTTAAAAATTTATTTCTCAAGAACTAAAAGTGATTCTTCAAAATAGTTTTTTGCATTAAAAAGAGGATACTTTAATTAATAATTGGTGATATTTCCGCAAGGATCCTTCAAGAAATTAATTTTATAGCGAATTTTGGAAGTTATTGATGAAAATTGCAACATCGAAAATTTTATCAAATCTTCAAATATTGTTTTCTCAAAAACTAAAAGTTATTTTTCAAAACGGGTTGATTCATTGGAAAGAGGACACTTTTATTAGCACTTTGGTAAATTTTCATACTCATATTACAAGAACTGGATTTTTTACGAATTTTTAAAATTTAATCGGCGAAAATTGCAAAATTTGGAAAAATTGTCGATCATTTCAAAAATGTATTTCTCAAGAACTAAAAGTGATTTTTCAAAACGGCTTTTTGCATTGAAAAGAGGATACTTTAATTAATAATTTGTGATATTTCCACAAGGATCCTTCAAGAAATTAATTTAATAGCGAATTTTGAAAATTATCGATGAAAATTACAACATAGAAAATTTTATCAATACTTCAAACATTGTTTTCTCAAAAACTGAAAGTTATTTTTCAAAACGGGTTGATTCATTGGAAAGAGGACACTTTTGTTAGCACTTTGTAAAATTTTCATACTCATATTCCAAGAACTGGATTTTTTACGAATTTTTAAAACTTAATCGGCGAAAATTGCAAAATTCGAAAAATTGTCGATTATTTTAAAAATTTATTTCTCAAGAACTAAAAGTGATTCTTCAAAATAGGTTTTTGCATTAAAAAGAGGATACTTTAATTAATGATTGGTGATATTTCCATAAGGATCCTTCAAGAAATTAAATTAATAGCAAATTTTGAAAATTATCAATGAAAATTACAACATCGAAAATTTTATCAAAACTTCAAATATTGTTTTCTCAAAAACTAAAACTTATTTTTCAAAACGAGTTGATTCATTGGGAAGAGGACACTTTTATTAGCACTTTGGGAAATTTTCATACTCATATTACAAGAACTGGATTTTTTACGAATTTTTAAAATTTAATGGGCGAAAATTGCAAAATTTGAAAAAATTGTCGATCATTTCAATAATGTATTTCTCAAGAACTAAAAGTGATTTTTCAAAACGGGTTTTTGCATTGAAAAGAGGATACTTTAATTAATAATTTGTGATATTTCCACAAGGATCCTTCTAGAAATTAATTTAATAGCGAATTTTGAAAGTTATCGATGAAAATTGCAACATCGAAAATTTTATCAAAACTTCAATTACTGTTTTCTCAAAAACTGAAAGTTATTTTTCAAAACGGGTTGATTCATTGGAAAGAGGACACTTTTATTAGCACTTTGGGAAATTTTCATACTTATATTCCAAGAACTGAATTTTATACGAATTTCTAAAACTTAATCGGCGGAAATTGCAAAATTCGAAAAAATTGTTTTCAAAAATTTATATCACAAGAACTAAAAGTGATTTTTCAAAACGGCTTTTTGCATTAAATTGAGGATACTTTAATTAATAATCGAAAGTGATAACAGCGACAATTCTGTTAGCAATGAATGTGATGATGAATTACAAGCGAAGAGAAGAAATTAGACGAAACTGTAATAAGAGATTTTATATATCGTATTGGGATTGCTACAATGAGGTTGCTAATGATAAACCTGATATAAATAAAGTTGTATTCAATAAAACAAGTCCTATTGGGGTTGAACTTGATTATTAATTATGATACTAATTCCTGTGAATGGTGAAGTACTAAGTAATAGGTTTTTAATATCCGCTTTTGTGAACGAATAAGCTTAAAATTGCAAGAAAGTCTGTTTTAAAGATCAATGGTAAAATTAAACTCGAAAATCTTTACGAAATTTATTCAAAAATTTTTTTTTGTCATCGATAATAATCTTTGTAGCCCTTCTTTTTCAGACTTGTTTGTAAGATATTAGTATCAATGAAAGATGGAATCAGACGATGACATGGTATGAGATGAGATAAGATATGAATTTGATGCATTTCAACGATGCACGTGTTTATTAAGTCGTTTTTGATTTAAGGAATATATTTTGAATAAAATTATATATGAATCGTAATTGGAAAAAACGATATTGAGGCAGATTTGAGTGTCATAAATAGTAATGACAAACAAAAATTGAAATAAATAATAATAAAACTTACTTTTGATTAGACAAAATAGCTAATATTTGATAATGAGTTATACAAATTCCTTTTGGTGAACCAGTTGTACCACTGCTAAAAACAATCATGGCGGTATCAAAAACATTGTTGGTGGTGTAAACTTTAAAATTCTTCTCTTCTTCAGGTAAAGGTGTCAACAAATCATCGAAAGAAATGTGCTTGCTTGTTTCGCCAAAAACGACAATTTTAGTATCTAAACTGAGTTTTTCTATTATAATTTCTAATTTAGGTACACATTCTGGAGTGGCAAATATGTATTTGGGTTTAACTAATTGTAGTTGCTTCAGTTTGTCTTCTTCGGGTGCTCCAGGATCAAGTGAAGCTGGTTTAGCACCAGTAAAGAAGATTGCGTATAAAATCACGCTTGTGTTTAAGTGATTGGTAGTGCACGGAGTTAAAATATCTTTAGGTGTTACTCCCATTTTTTTCAAGTGACACGCAACTCTTACTGATCTTTCAAGAACAGCATGAAACGTTTCAGAAACTCCTGATACGGCATCAATTTGTGCACATTTATTTTTATTCTTTTTTAATCCTGCATAAATTTCATGGGCGACACCATTGGGATTAACGTATGGCACCCATTCTTTGGTTCTAATTATGTTATCTCCATTACTTGNTCTATCAAAACTTCAAACATTGTTTTCTCAAAAACTAAAAGTTATTTTTCAAAACGGGTTGATCCATTGAAAAGAGGACACTTTTATAAACACTTTGGGAAATTTTCATACTTATATTCCAAGAACTGGATTTTATACTAATTTTTAAAACTTATTCGGCGAAAATTGCAAAATTCGAAAAAATTGTCGATTACTTTAAAAATTTATTTCTCAAAAACTAAAAGTTATTTTTCAAAACAGCATTTTGCATTAAATAGAGGATACTTTAATTAATAATCGAAAGTGATAACAATAATAAATTTGATGACGAATTACAAGCGAAGAGAAGAAATCTGGACGAAACTGCAATAAGAGATTTTATATATCGTATTGGGATTGCTACAATGAGGTTGCTGATGATAAACCTGATATAAATAAAGTTGTATTCAATGAAAAAAGTCCTATTGGGGTTGAACTTGATTATTATCTGCAGTGTCCAACAGCTAAAAGAGATACTAATTCCTGTGAATGGTGAAGTACTAAGTAATAGGTTTTTAATATCTGCTTTTGTGAACGAATAAGCTTAAAATTGCAAGAAAGTCTGTTTTAAAGATCAATGGTAAAATTAAACTCGAAAATCTTTACGAAATTTATTCAAAAATTTTTTTTTGTCATCGATAATAATCTTTGTAGCCCTTCTTTTTCAGACTTGTTTGTAAGATATTAGTATCAATGAAAGATGGAATCAGACGATGACGTGGTATGAGATGAGATAAGATATGAATTTGATGCATTTCAACGATGCACGTGTTTATTAAGTCGTTTTTGTTTTAAGGAATGTATTTTGAATAAAATTATATATGAATCGTAATTGGAAAAAACGATATTGAGGCAGATTTGAGTGTCATAAATAGTAATGACAAACAAAAATTGAAATAAATAATAATAAAACTTACTTTTGATTAGACAAAATAGCTAATATTTGATAATGAGTTATACAAATTCCTTTTGGTGAACCAGTTGTACCACTGCTAAAAACAATCATGGCGGTATCAAAAACATTGTTGGTGGTGTAAACTTTAAAATTCTTCTCTTCTTCAGGTAAAGGTGTCAACAAATCATCGAAAGAAATGTGCTTGCTTGTTTCGCCAAAAACGACAATTTTAGTATCTAAACTGAGTTTTTCTATTATATTTTCTAATTTAGGTACACATTCTGGAGTGGCAAATATGTATTTGGGTTTAACTAATTGTAGTTGCTTCAGTTTGTCTTCTTCGGGTGCTCCAGGATCAAGTGAAGCTGGTTTAGCACCAGTAAAGAAGATTGCGTATAAAATCACGCTTGTGTTTAAGTGATTGGTAGTGCACGGAGTTAAAATATCTTTAGGTGTTACTCCCATTTTTTTCAAGTGACACGCAACTCTTACTGATCTTTCAAGAACAGCATGAAACGTTTCAGAAACTCCTGATACGGCATCAATTTGTGCACATTTATTTTTATTCTTTTTTAATCCTGCATAAATTTCATGGGCGACACCATTGGGATTAACGTATGGCACCCATTCTTTGGTTCTAATTATGTTATCTCCATTACTTGGTTCAATAATATCTACAAGTTAGTTTAAAATTGTTTTTATTTTTAAAAGTAATTCAAGTATATCGACTTACCTTCTATAGACATTTTTGACGAATTTTTGAACCACAAAGCGTGAAGTTACAATAGCAATAATTTACAAATTGCACGTTATGTTCAACTTTATAAACTAATCTTATCTTTTTTTATGTAAAAGAAATATGTAATAGTATCAAAATTCTTATCTTAAAAGTGTTCTCGACTTTTTAATTGTAATAATTAAAAAAACAAATTTATATTGACTTTTTTTAAATTTCTTTACATATTTTGTATTCGTATCTATAGATTTCTATAGATGTATATATTCTGATGGCTTCTGAATTACTTTGGCATTACATATTTTTAACATTACATCCGGGGGTACATATTAGTAGAGCTTAGTGTGCCAAAAAAGAAGAAGTGATATTTGTTTATTGTTATTTTGACATTTTTGAAGCTCTTGTACATATAACATTATAACTTTTGTTTTACTCTGCAACTCAATATGTCATAATTCTGTTAGTTATAAGTTATAATAAGTGAGGAAAAGTATCAATATGATCTAAAGGATCTTTAAGTCAGAAAAAACTTGAAGCAATTGATGAAGATCTTGATCTTAACGAAATAATTGTAATTTTTAATAATCCACCCAAAGTGTACGAAGATATTGATAAAGAATCTGTCGGTGGAATACAAGATTTGCCATCTGATAATCATGAAATTGATGATAAGACAATGAAATTGCAACAATGCTGCCTGACGTCGAAGTTGAAAAAGTGCCACAAGATTGCGCTATTGATATGCAAGTTGACGTAATAAATCATGAAATGCTTGATTGAGTGATAAGCGCACTCAATCAAACAAATTGCAAGTTATTTGGTGTAGATATTTACGATTCATCAGAGTACGTGGTTTCAATTTCTTTCAATTTCTGCGCCATCAACCTCCAAGTTGGATAATGTGGCATACATAATTCAAAGAAACAATAAGCATGTTCTGGTTCAAGAATTCTGTAGTTCCGAACTGTTCTTATCCTTTTCACGCATACGTATAATATGCAATATGTATGCGCAGAAAGGTTCAGAACTGTTTGGCAATACAGAACTCTTGAACCAAAACATACCTAATGAAAACTGGAGATAATGCTGCAGGGTATATCAAAGTACGACGTCGTGGAGAATTGTGCGTCCACAAATTTATGCAGGAGTAAGTCGTTAATATACATCAGGAAAAGCAGAGAACTGAGGATTGATCCCTGCGGCACTCCACAGGAAACATTGCGACTATCACTGTGTTTTTGATTTATTGCAACAACCTGAGTTCTATTAGAGACTCTCTAACTCCATACAAATCCAATTTGGCAATCAGTATATTATGAGCCACAGTAACTAATGCCAAATCCAAAAATATTCCTATAATGGGAGTTGAAGCATCCAATGCATCACTGACGTTCTTGGTGAATACAGCAAAAGCATCATCAACCCCCATTCCTTGACGAAAACCATACTGACAACTAGATAGAATGTTGCAGAAATTTAAAAAGTGTTCTAATTGATCTTTTAAAATGTTTTCAAAAATTTTTTAATGTCCCCAATGCAAACACCCAATTTGTGGTGATTACCGGGAAAAGTGATGCACGGAGTGCTCTTAGAATGACTGACCTTTTTGTATCTTCATAAGTAATATCTACTTCTTAAGTATCAATAAATACTAGTGGTGGAACGGACATTCGGCAACTACGGATAACCACAGGAATTGGTATCCCTTTTAAGTTTTGGACACTGCAGATAATAATCAAGTTCAACCCCAATAATACTTTTTTCATCGATAACTTTCAAAATTCGCAAAAAATTATTAATTATAGTATCCTCTTTTTTATGAAACAAGCCGTTTTGAAAAATCACTTTTAGTTCTTGAGAAATACATTTTTGAAATAATCGACAATTTTTTAGAATTTTGCAATTTTCGCCGATTAAGTTTTAAAAATTCGTATAAAATCCATTTCTTGGAATATGAGTATGAAAATGTCCCAAAGTGTCAATAAAAGTGTCCTCTTTCCAATGAACCAACATGTTTTAAAAAATTACTGTTAGTTTTTGAGAAAACAATATTTGAAATTTTGATAAAATTTTCGATGTTGCAATTTTTATCGATAACTTTTCAAAACTCGCTATAAAATTTATTTCTTGAAGGATCCTTGTGGAAATATCACCAATTATTAATTAAAGTATCCTCTTTTTAATGTAGAAAGCCGTTTTGAAAAATCACTTGCAGTTCTTGAGAAATAAATTTTTGAAATGATCGACAATTGTTTCGAATTTTGTAATTTTCGCCGATTAAGTTTTAAACATTCGTATAAAATCCATTTCTTGGAATATGAGTATGAAGATGTCCCAAAGTGTTAATAGAAGTGTCCTCTTTCCTATGAACCAACACGTTTTAAAAAATTACTTTTAGTTTTTGAGAAAACAATATTTGAAATTTTGATAAAATTTTCGATGTTGCAATTTTTATCGATAACTTTTCAAAACTTGCTATAAAATTTATTTTTTGAAGGATCCTTGTGGTAATATCATCAATTATTAATTATAGTATGCTCTTTTTAATGCAAAAAGCCGTTTTGAAAAATCACTTTCAGTTCTTGAGAAATAAATTTTTGAAATGATCGACCATTTTTTCAAATTTTGCAATCTTCGCCGATTAAGTTTTAAAAATTCGTATAAAATCTATTTCTTGGAATACGAGTATGAAAATGTTACAAAGTGTTAATAAAAGTGTCCTCTTTTCAATAAACCAACACGTTTTGAAAAATTACTTTTAGTTTTTGAGAAAACAATATTTGAAGTTTTGATAAAATTTTCGATGTTGCAATTTTCATCGATAACTTGCAAAATTCGCTATAAAATTCAAATTAAAGTATCCTCTTTATGGAGTTGCTTCGTTAGTTAAATCAGCATCAAAAAAGTTCATTTTGTATCTTGGGTCCAAATAAGTTGACATATCTTATCAGCTTTCTTATTAATTTCAGTTTTATTCAAATATCGCAATATAATACATATTAATTTTTATTCAATAAAAATTTGAAGTTTACTCGATTTTCTCAATCATGTTTGAAAAAGTCATAAAATTTACAACACGTTAGTACCAACGTATAAAAAACATATTAGTATTCTAGGGGTGATTGTTTCTAAACACCTAAATAAACGAAATAAACAATTATTTCTATCATTTTACCCTTAATGGGTTAAATGAGAAAAATGCTTTGCAGTTTGTTATGGCAACAGTTCGGTGCAAAAGTGAAGAAAGAAAGATATGGGTCAAAAGAATCAATTAGTAGTTAGTAGATAATGGGTTCTTTATAAGATGCAGGACGGCAAATATAAGACGGACTTTGAACTTATTATTAGAACAATCTCAAAAGTCATTAACAAAACCATTACTATTTAAACGAGCACTGGTCCATTAAGTTTCGCTAAAGAAATAATGTTGTAAAATTGACGCAAACGGTAGTTGGTGGTAACTGGTTTAATGATTGGTCGAGATTTAAACGCTTGAATTGAATCGTGTTTTAATCAATTAAATAAGTAAATACGATAAAGTAATTATAATCAAAGTATCTTATTTTATTTTTAATCACTTCATTATTCTCCAATTTTCTTTAATACATATTGTTTTAAAGCTGAATCTTAGGAATTTCATCTTCATCAACTTTGCCAGCAACTAAAGCTTCAAGTTCTTCACCTGTAACATTATCATCGTAAAGATCGAAGTTTTCTTCACCGTAATAACCTGTTGTGTCTTTTGCTTACACACAAACATGGATGAAACAAAAATACACTCAAATTAATTAAAATCATAAAAATAACCAATAAATTTTTCTTTTTTTAAATATTTATTAATTAACTTAATTACATTTTTAATTTGTTTCCATTAACCGTTGTCTAAGAAGTCTTCTTTTAATTTTTCCAGATGGTGTAAAAGGAATTTCTTCCCTGCTAAGGAATTTAACTCCGCCTCTTAATCGTTTTCTATCATCAACTTGACTAGCAACTAATTGTTCTAATTCTTCAGCGGTAACATTATCGTTAGATTTTACTACAACAGCAGTGATGATGTCACCTTCATCGCTAGGTAATCCTAAAACTACAGCTAATTCAACCGAGGGATGTTGAACGATAATTGCTTCGAGTTCTGTTGGGGCAACTGCGCACATTTTATACCTTAACATTTCTTTTTGACGTTCAACGAAGAAAAACGTGTAATCTTCATCATAGTACAATATATCACCGGTTTTAAGGAAACCTTCAGAATCAAATCTATCGCGGCAACCGGTTTTATAATAACCATTCATAATCATTTTTGATTTTATGCGTAATTCTCCAGGTTTGTTTGGTCCAAGAACTTCCTCTGTTTCAGGATCAACGACTTTATAAATACCCCCTTTCATTGGTTTTCCTGTTGACGTTGGTTTTTTGACTACTTCAGCAACTCCTTCAGGAGTAAAGCGAGGACTAAGTCCGTAACCCCATAGTTCGGTTTGGCTGTAACCTTGAAAAACGAGACTGCTTGAAAACAATTCTCTTGCTTTCGTTAATGTTTCTAAGGAAACTGCTCCACCTGCTGGTGCAACCATTTTTAATGAAGGTAATTCCAATCCAGATGGTTTCTCTGATTTCATTAAAGCTAAGAAATCTTGAGGTGCTAAAAATGCTATGGCCACTTTGTACTTTTCAAGATATTTCCATGTTTTTTCCACTTCAAAATTTGAACATAAAAGTTTGGTTTGTGAAGCTGTAACGCTCGTTATTGTAAGCATTATCGCTGAGGCCCAAACCAATGATGCATAAGACATTGTTACTTGTGGATCCCCGCTTTTCTTTGCGAATGGTAGGCTTTAAATAATTATACAACATACGTTTTTTTTTATGGCAGAATTAGTTATTGTTCCAGAATTACTACTAATTCAAATAAGAAATTGTAGTAATTTTAGGACATGCACTATTTAAATAAGCATAAATAAAATAAATAATCACCTTTGATTAGCTATAATTCCTAATATTTGATAATGAGTAATACAAATTCCTTTTGGAGAACCAGTTGTACCACTGCTAAAAACAATCATAACCGTATCAAAAACATTATTCGTGGTGTAAACTTTAAACTCCTTCTCTTCATCAGGTAGAGGCACCAATAAATCGTCGAAAGGTATATGTTTCTCTGTTTCACCAAAAACGATGATTTCTGTATTTAAATTTAATTTTTCAATTATATCTTCCAATTTAGGTACACATTCTGGGGTAGCAAATACGTATTTGGGTTTAACTAATTGTAATTGTCTTATTTTGTCTTCTTCGGGCGCTCCAGGATCCATCGAAGCTGGTTTAGCACCAGTGAAGAAGATGGCGTATAAAGTAACGCTTGTGTTTAAGTGATTTGTAGTGCACGGGGTTAAAATATCTTTAGGGGTTACTCCCATTTTTTTCAAATGGCACGCAACTCTTACTGATCTTTCAAGAACCACATCGAAAGTTTCAGAAATTCCTGATACGGCGTCAATTTGTGCACATTTATTTTTATTTTTTTTTAGTCCTGTATAAATTTCGTGAGCAACACCATTTGGATTGATGTATGGCACCCAATCTTGGGTTCTAATTATGTTATCTCCATTGCTTGGTTGAATAATATCTACAAATTTGAAAATAAATAATTTTTAATTTTAAAAGATTTTTTTAATAACAAACCTTCTACGGTCATTTTTGATGCGGTCGTTTTGCACTACGAGGACTAAACTTACACTGAGAAATAATTTAGTATTTACACGTACATATATCTTAATAGTGTAATTTATAGGGTATCTCTTATCTTTTTTTAAAATGAACCAGCAATACGTCGTGGTATGATTATGGATAAATTCTTATCGATTATTTTATCGATCGTTGAATTAAATTTATGTTTTAATAATTACTATAAATGACTTGTATCTTCTTATCGTAATTATATAAATTTTAAGTATTATTGAATGCAATAATTTTTAATCCATTCAACTCAATCAATAAAAATAACTCAAACACGCAATTAAAACAACCAAATTGTATGTCTATGCATGATATCGATAAACGAATATGTTAAGTTTTTATAATTATGAGAAAGATGGAGACATACATACCCTTGATTTCTGGAAAGTCGTCCCCAACCACAATTACAAATTGTGAGTGTTAATTTCCTGCAGCATAACTCTGAATTCTGCTAACTCTTTGGGAATCGTCATTTAAATCCTTCTCGGTTGTTATTATTATTATTCAGCAAAGTATTATTCCATCATTTTGCTATTGCATCATTCGACAGATTCAAGAATTGCAACTGATGAGAGTTTCATTAACAAGACATAATGTAAAGTATTGAATCCCAGCTAGATGTGTGAAACTGTACTCAAAGACCAAATGTATGTTCGTGTATAGTGGGTACTCAGTTAATTGCGCTTTAAAATGAATTCTACGTGCACTTAAAAACCTGTTTGAAGCCAATTTAAATCAGATATGATTTTAAAAAGATGGAATTCCAGCTCATTTTGGGGTAAATTCTTAATCCTAAAGATTAATTCTGTTATGTATTACATATGGGTGAACTAACAGCTCTTGATCTTGATGAAACAATTTACATTGACAAATCACTTATATCATTTTCCCTACAGATGTTACGACAATCTTGCTGAAACAAGATCACAGTTATCATGAAATTTAGCGAATACTGGATTATGGGAGAACAATGGTCTCAGATAGATGTTGGTTAGACAAACACACATAATTGGCACCTCGCGGAAGAACTGTAAAACTGAATATATTGCAAAAATAGTGAAGCTGTTCTTTTCTGCAAAAATAGGATGTATGTTCTAATGTTTGCCACAAAGCGCAACAAAACATAAAAAACTAGACATGTTATCTGCTTAGAATTAACCGTAATGATCTGTTAATGAGTCATATCAAATAACACCACAGGAAAATTATTAAAAAAACGATGCTTGACATCTTTCTGAATACTGCCAAGGTAAATTCTTTGTTGATGTGCAAAGAAACCAAATGCATGGCTGCACCTGCAGTTTTGTAAATATTCAGCAAAACATCTTTTGGACCGAATACACCTTGAACCTTCTTCATATTAACTTGCACTTTAAATAATTATACTTGTTTAATATTTTGTACATCTTTATAGATATGAAAAAACATTCAGATTTGAAATTTCAATTAAATTGGCTAATTTAAAGTAATACTTTATCTGATTACATACCAAATAATTTTCATATAAAGTGGTACTTAATATTGAGGCTAATTAATTAAATGCTCTATAAGCGTTTCTAATCAAGATAATCATTCATATATAAAATTTCGGTTAAATTACATAACCGGAAGTAGTACTTTATTTTGCATATTCAGCCGTAAAAAAAAGAAAAGGAAATTTCCAAAATATGCATATGCAACGATTTAATTTCTTAGAGTCTTCCAAACATTAGTCTGGTAGATAAATCCATCAGATTACCGTCTAAGGCCTACACCACAATATTCAATGCAGGATAATTATTATCCAGCCAATGGAAAAGGAGCATCGTCTACAATTATGGAGCCAGACAAGTTAATTAGACTAGGTCGAGTAACTTGTTGTAAATAAGATACAAACAGAATCCTTGTTAGCTGCAACCATATAAAACAACTGTGAATGCTCAACATTGCCATTAAACTATGTTTCAGTTACCATAATAACATCATAAGTAAGTTACAATGAGGTCAAGTTAGAATTTTTTGTTGTCTTCTGGTGATTCGCAAATATTTACCAACTCCTTAGACTTTTTGTGTGATGTACTGGATGCACTTTTTTTTCTTCCTGCTTTTCTGCACTTTTTCTTCAATGCTATTATTTTATTTTTTCTTCAATTTGATTTTTATTACACGAACTAGTAATTATTTTGGATCCTTCTACCCGTCGTTTCTTCTTTTGCATATTTTTGTCTTTGACATTATTTTGAAATTGCTTGAGGAATAGGTGTTTTCTGGTCTTCGTGATTTATTGATGATTTATGTATTGGAGATTCGTTTTTGTTCTGTAATATTTCAGAATCTGGATCACCAGACGTTGTAGAACGTTGTATGTCTAGTGTTAGAAGAGGGTCTAAATTTTGTTTCTTTAAGAGACTTAAGGTTGATCCATAATCCGAATTGTTATCAGGTGTAGGGCTACATCCATCTTGAGGAATTTCTGATGTCATAGGGATGTTGTGACACGAATTGCCTCAGCAGCTTCGAAATTGCTGCTTGAAATGCTATTCTTCGTATCTCTGTGGGCTGGTCTTCGTAATTGATTGATGATTGGAGATTCGTTTTTCTTCTGTAACATTTCAGAATCTGGGTCACCAGAAGTTGTAGAATGTTGTATGTCTAGTGTTAGAAGAGGGTCTAAATTTTGTTTCTTTAAGAAACCTAAGGTTGATCCATAATCCGAATTGTTATCAGGTCTAGGGCTACACCCATCTTGACGAATTTCTGATCTTATAGACCATTTTATTTTTTTCTTCAATTTGATTTTTATTNCAGTTACCATAATAACATCATAAGTAAGTTACAATGAGGTCAAGTTAGAATTTTTTGTTGTCTTCTGGTGATTCGCAAATATTTACCAACTCCTTAGACTTTTTGTGTGATGTACTGGATGCACTTTTTTTTCTTCCTGCTTTTCTGCACTTTTTCGTCAATGCTATTATCTTATTTTTTACTAATTTTGCTTAGAGAATTTTATTTTTTTCTTCAATTTGATTTTTATTACACGAACTAGTAATTATTTTGGATCCTTCTACCCGTCGTTTCTGCTTTTGCATATTTTTGTCTTTGACATTATTTTGAAATTGCTTGAGGAATAGGTGTTTTCTGGTCATCATGATTTATTGATGATTTATGTATTGGAGATTCGTTTTTCTTCTGTAATATTTCAGAATCTTGGTCACCAGAAGTTGTAGAACGTTGTATGTCTGGTGTTAAAAGAGGGTCTAAATTTTGTTTCTTTAAGAAACCTAAGGTTGATCCATAATCCGAACTGTTATCAGGTCTAGGGCTACACCCATCTTGACGAATTTCTGATCTTATAGACAATTTTATTTTTTTCTTCAATTTGATTTTTATGACACGAACTAGTAATTATTTTGGACCCTTCTACCCGTCGTTTCTTCTTTTGCTTATTTTTGTCTTTCACATTATTTTGAAATTGCTTGAGGAATAGGTGTTTTCTGGTCCTCGTGATTTATTGATGATTTAAGTATTGGAGATTCGTTTTTCTTCTGTAATATTTCAGAATCTGGGTCACCAGAAGTTGTGGAACGTTGTATGTCTAGTGTTAGAAGAGGGTCTAAATTTTGTTTCTTTAAGAAACCTAAGGTTGATCCATAATCTGGATTGTTATCAGGTATAGGCCTACATCCATCTTGAGGAATTTCTGATATCATAGGGATGTTGTGACACGAATTGCCTCAGTAGCTTCGAAATCGCTACTTGAAATGGTATTCTTCGTATCTCTGTGGGCTGGTCTTCGTAATTGATTGATGATTTATGTATTGGAGATTCGTTTTTCTTCTGTAATATTTCAGAATCTGGGTCACCAGAAGTTGTAGAACGTTGTATGTCTGGTGTTAGAACAGGGTCTAAATTTTGTTTCTTTAAGAGACCTAAGGTTGATCCATTATCCGAATTGTTATCAGGTATAGGGCTACACCCATCTTGACGAATTTCTGATCTTATAGGGATGTTGTGACACGAATTGCCTCAGCAGCTTCGAAATCGCTACTTGAATTGCTATTCTTCGTACCTCTGTGGGCTGGTCTTCGTAATTGATTGATGATTTACGTATTGGAGATTCGTTTTTCTTCTATAATATTTCAGAATCTGGGTTACCAGAAGTTGTGGAACGTTGTATGTCTGGTATTAGAAGAGGATCTAAATTTTGTTTCTCTAAGAGACCTAAGGTTGATCTATAATCCGAATTATTATCAGGTATAGGGCTACATCCATCTTGACGAATTTCTGATGTCATAGGGATATTATGACACTAAGTGCCTTCGAAATCGCTACTTGAAATTTTATTCTTTGTACCTCTGTGGTTGACAGTCCATAAAATCGTTTTTCTAAATTTATCAAATGACACAAATTGAGTTCATTGCTTAATTTCGAATACTTAACATGAAAAAGTTTTCTTAAATGCTATCTCCAAAAAGTTTTAATTTATCGTAACATTACTTCCGCATACCTTTATGAATAATAAATAAAACATAGATTAAGTAATACCTAATTATATTTAAAAACCGAGAAAAGGCATGAAAAATTTTCCGATTAACATCGAAAGTTCAATTCATACTACACTTTTCTTAGTTTAAAAATAAAAAAATATTGATACAATTTACTTCACATAAAATCAAATCGAGAATAAAATATTTTTGGAGGAACAGGGGTGAGAGGGAACAATAGACGTTACGCCACTGGAGCGTTCCAACCCTCTTGTTAAAATCTGCGTTTGGAGGGTGCATCTGTCACTACGTTTGCCTCGATTCTAAGCCAGTTAACAGTGTCTCAGTGGCTGTGTTTCAATGATTTCTATTAGAACTCCATAAAAAAATCAGTTTATAAAGAAATTATGTGAAATTTGTTGCATTAATATACGTGTAGTTAACAAAAAACCACCCGTCTCGGAGAAAACGTCCCCCTAACTACAATAATTTAATTATCATAAAAAATCGTAAGTAATTATTTTTTGAATAATGAATTAATCAATAAATTATATTTTTCGATTAGATATTTGTTGTAGACTTATTTCTAATTTTGTTCTTAAATTAGGATTATTTTTAAGGGTTTGTTTGATTCAAAGAAGTTTTGACCATTTCCTGTCGAAAAACGGAATGAGATAGAAACGGCCCGTGTTTGGTTTTTATAAATTCATGAGTAAACACCGTCAATAATAAATGATCAAGTCGTTTGAGTGCGAATCTTCGTCTGGGGACGAAACCACCACAGTATACCCCATCTCTCGGGCGGTGGTGGAACCGCCTCAATGGCTAAGGGGTGGAACACCCTCCGCCTGGGGCTGGCAGCACCCGGTAAGTAAAATTTTGAATCTAGGTCAACTTAATTCTTGAACTCTTTAAAACTCAAAAAAATCCTCTTCTTTTTTAAACTCAGAATTCTTCCGGTGGTGGTGGTGGTGGTCCGAGTTCATCAATATCAGCACCAATCGAAGCTCCTAATTTCCCACAATTCGGTGGGCATCATTCAACAGAGGAAGGTCAAATACCAGGACGAAGAACACCGTTAGGAGCAGTGGGATTAGGAGGATTTCAATTTCAAGGTCCTCACATTAATCATGGCCCACCATCAGATGAAAATAACCCAGATCCAACGCGACCTCAAAGTAGATCACCACAAAATCGAGCAATGCAAAATAACCCACAAGGAAAAGGAAAAAATCGACAAGGAAAATCGGTTCGATTAAATATAAATGCGCGAGAACGAAGACGAATGCATGATTTAAATGATGCATTGGATGACCTTAGGGCTGTCATACCATACGCCCATTCACCATCCGTCCGGAAACTGTCCAAAATAGCCACTTTACTTTTGGCTAAAAATTATATTTTGATGCAAGCGAACGCCTTGGAAGAAATGAAACGATTAATAGCTTATTTACAAGGAACCACAGCAAGTTCAACAATCGTAGCACCTCCAGGATTCGATTTGCAAGGATTTCCAGCCGCTGCTAAGTTTCTTCAGCAACAGCAACAATTACAAGCGGAAAATGCGAGAAATTCTGAAGGAAATGAGTCGGGAAATTGTAATTTATGAGAAAAAGAACGAACCGAAGTGTTTTAATTT